TGTAGAAGAAGTGATGCACTATTGATAAAGGTTAAACACAGAGTCTGAAAATGTCCATGCTGATGAGCCTACCTTACAAACAGTAACGGTAAACAGTGCTTCATTAAATGTGATCCAAATGGCTTCAAATTATTTCTTTACATTTAATTAACTTTCCAATTCTTACACAATAACAGATGGTAAATATCTGTACCTATCAGTGCCTTCTTCTTGACTCTGGGAGATAAGATTTATCACAAGGAGTAGATAGGACAGAACAGGTGCAGAATATGTGTTGATGATTAGTAAAATTCCAACAACAATGGGGTTGTATTCAATTTGACCCACATAGCCAGATGCAATGTCTATGCTGGCCAAGCTGTTGGAATTACCCTGCAAGAAAAAAAAGTCCATCAACTATACTCTATGAAAATAAGCAATATTAATAATGGAATAAGTACTGTCAGTTAAACAGCAGCTACTGGTGACAGTGATTTGTTAGTGTCCTTGATGCTCAAGCATGTGCAAAAAAACACGTTATGTTATGTCAGTCTGTTGAGTTTTTCCTATAGGGGTAAGCAACCTGCATGCCCAGGGGTCATTGTTGCACATTTCTGTTCCAGCTGTTGTGCAAGAATGGGACCTGATGTCAAAGAACAGTCACTGTTGCATGACAATGACCTATGATCACACTAGTGAAAGAATGGCCTAAGGTATAACAATTACCTAACACCATGTTACTGCAACAATGGCCTACAAGATGTGTATGTGAAGAACACCTTTGGAATGTCAGTGTGCTCCAAAGAGTATAACTTTTCAGTCTCATTGAGTAATCAGTCATCATATAATTGTCTTCAATATACTGTTCACCTCTAGCTCATTCTGACATATAATGACCTTGTTACCAAGTTATTATACTTTGTTTTATCATGTTTATTTCTATATCAATTTCTTTTCTGGTATAATAGTAAAAGTAGTTTCAATATCGTCTACCTGATAAAAATAGACAACGGTACCAATCCAAACATGGGCGATAACTAGCCACCACATGTTTGCAGTGTGGCTCCTGTAACAAGCATAGATTGTTCCCACACATTTGCTCATGAAAACCTGTGCAACAATCAGAATGACATTGTGTGAGCGATGCAGAAGAGCACAGATGAGCAACCAGCAACATGTTAATGTGCTCAGCAGACATCCAAATATGCATAATGAACTATAACGCTGCACTTTCATTTCATACAGTGTCTCACCAATGCCCTTTGTTAGCAACAGTGTTAAGATGACCCAGAAAATGTTAACTTCCTTCACACCCCTGCAAAAAAAGAAAAAAAAAAGGAGTTAGCTCTTCTGTTATTATTTTTAGTTACCTTTCTACAGTGGTGTTCAAATATTATATCATATACCCTTTGATGCAATCATGTTTTGTGGTTTTTTATTTGGAAAGAAACTCCTTCTGTAATTGGCAGCAATCCGTTGTGCTGACCTACAGGAAAATGAGACTTACAGCAACCAAAATAACAATGGAACAACCATCTTGGAATTCATAGTAACAGGCCCTAATGACTAATTGTACTAATTTCATGATCATGATGATGGAAGTTTCCAATGGCATGATGTCTGCACCAACTTTTGTGAAAATCAATCAATCAGTGCATGTAATATTGATGGGACATGTAACTTACCAATAGATTTCTGAAGAAGGAATTCTATCATGAAACTACCCAAAGGGAAGACATACATGACCAGAATACTTAATAAATCATGAAAAAATATTATGATAAGATTTTCACTTGCAAAAAGGTTATGTCTGGCTGCTTAAACACCTACACTGTTTTCAAATACATATCATATCAGTCTGTCCAGCATGTTTTGTGATGACAAACAGCAGCTGAATAGAACAGCTTACTTGTCAGTAAAGTGAACACCCACAGGAAACACATACTTAGGACATGAGACACAAGAAAATATGGTAATGTTTAAGTCCCTTTATAATAGGTCTCTAATAGGAGTTAACAATGATAAATAAGAAAAGATTACATTCTGACCTGCTGTGAGGATAGGCATATGGAGTGTCAACATTTCCTATGGCACTACGGTAGCAGTAGACACACACCACAGCAGTTATGTACAATGCTCCTTCTATCAGCCAAATGTATTTTCCTTGATACTGTGCACGGATGTACAAACAGCAACAACATACTGCTATAAGTCCTTCAAATGAACAAATATAATTATACACATTAATATACAAGTAGTTCTTGAATTACATTATTATACCTATTTTCTTTCAAATGCTTAAATCTGTACCATGTTGCACTAACATGCAACAATGAAAATTTGTGTACTGGTAGACCATAAACATGCCTACAGATTGTATATGAAACATATTTTATAAGTTACAGACAGCAACTGTGCAAATCATTGTGTTTACATCTGGCACATGTAATACAGTAATGGAAATTTGTACTTGTTCTAATTATGTCTAGCTCCAATCTGGTCATTATAACTTTTTTGCATCACCTCTTCTCCTACTTCATTCTGAACCCTATCCCTCTTGTTTCTTCCTGCCATCACCTTTATCTACTCCTTAACTTATATCCATCACCTGTATTTCTATCCTTGTGTTCACAGAAAATGTTTCCATCACATCTCGCCCTAACCACATGGACACTAAAACTTCCTTCATCATCTCATTTCCTAACCATATGGTTGCAAAAACATATTTTCAGAACATCATATCCCAATCACAGAGTCACTAAACACTGAAGTCAGTAAAAATTATGCTTGAATTCAGCATTTCTTACTGAGCACTATACATAGTTTGTAACACATGTCTATTTTGGATGAAACTCACATTACATTACATTTTATTAGCACTTGAAATTCCATCAAAATATGTTCCTCCAGAGCAGTGTACAGTGTGATACATGGATACAGACATGACAAAGCTAATCAGTACCCTGCAATGTCACAAAACATGTTTTACAAAGTAATACACATACTGTTAATATCTTTATAAGCTTCCTACATAGTCCTGTGTTTACCAAATATTTAAAACTGTGAGTTACCAAATAGCAACACAACTGACAGGTGGGCTCTGTGTTCCTGCTGCACAAGCCAGTCTCCAACATCTGGCAAAGATGCCCACTTGTCACCTGTCTGATTCCATTTTCTAAGGATGCGATGAAGGAAAAGCAGTCCCAGCCAACACCACAGAACCCAATCAAGCTTATGCTTCTCATCAGATGTATGTGTCTTCATAACAGGAACTGATGATTGCTTGGAGAACAGAGCAGAGCACAGCTCAAACAGAATAGTAACTGCAAATGTGAGCCATAAGAAGTACCACACTTGGTGCTCCTCTTCTATGAAACTGCTGGATAAAAGGCTGACACAATGCAATATCGTGCCCAACACAAACACAGCTTGGCCTTGATCCGGGCGAAGTATCTGTGTGCAAATATACAATACTAGAAGCTCTAGATAAAGTATTTGTGATCAAATATATACTATTAGAAGGCTCAGATCAGGAATGACAATTTTTACCCAACTTATGTATCAAGCAGGATGTTGTAGCAGTACAGCTCTAATTTGTTTCTGGGGGTGTTGACACCCAGTCTAAATTTCAGTATGATCAATAGCTATCATAATTGAGGTTATTGTATGTTCTTTTCCTTCTCATAGGTGGGGCAGCACTTTTTAACCTTCTTAGAACTGTTACTCCTTAAGCTTAACCAGTAAACCAAATTTACCCTGAAGATTTCTGTCTTCTGGGTTGTTGCACTGTGTAGTCTGGTCGATGTTAACCAACGTTTCAGAGGTCATACTGCCTCCATCATCAGGCCCTGATGACGGACGCAGTATGACCTCTGAAATGTTGGTTAACATCGACCAGACTACACAGCGCAACAACCCAGAAGACAGAAATCTTCATACTCACCGCTGTAAAAACATCAAATCTTACAAATTTACCCTCCCTCCTTTTTTAAATAATAGTGTTTGTATGACAGAGGGTAAACACCACTGCTGATTTTACTACATCTATCAAAAGTGTGTAACTGACCAGCTCATTACCCCCTGAAATATCCCAAATTACCCAATGAGGGGTAACTAACCTGAGGATGAGAACAACTGCTCTGGCAGAAATGCTGTGATAATACCTTGAAAGAAGCCATGACTTCCTCCTTCGAAATCATTCCCTTCTTACCATTCATGATTACTGTACTATACCATTTGATCTTGCATAACCTCTGCAGTTGGAAAAGTATTATTAAGTAACCCAAGAACCATTTCACAACCTGAGCCAATGCATAAATACTCTTAATATGTCAAGAAAGTTTACCTATCTCTATTTAATAAATTACATAAATTAATAATTACTTGAATGAACAAATGAACACCCTCAAATAGTTGTTACTATATTCTGAGTAGTAATTTGTCAATCAAGCACAAAATTTTGAGTTCACAATTAACACTATTCTTAATATAGATATGTCTGACTGATTTTCCCTCATAAACAAGAAAGATAGATAGTCAAAAGTAAAGAGCAGAAAAAATAACATTTAACAATTAAATTAGCATGTAAAAAGAACTTCAAATAACAAATATGATTCATATATACTAACCTGGGAAAATTTTATGCTGCGCAATGTACCTTTCAGAAAAAGAGACATATTAACAGAAACAAAAATAATCACACTCAGTATGACTGGCACTGTTGTGAGAGAATAACTGCAGAGAACACTAGTGCTTTGACTGCATGAGCACCAGAGAACACTCAAACTTAAAAACAGTAAGTTCATAAAAAATGTTAACATCACAGGAACAGCATGTGGCATCCTTTCCATTGCAAGTATCAGGACTATCTGAAAGAAAAAGATATAAATGTAATGTTACACATGAACTCATGGACTTAGCAGTCTGTGCCTAGGATTTCATATTTCAGACTACCTAAATCCCAGTAAACTTGCTTCAATCTTCACAGCTCACATGATCAAAACTTTGTGAATATATGAAATACAATAACTCTACAATATTTGATATCCTGTATTGTAGGCCTTCTCTGTTGGCCATGATCCCAAAGACTGGGACTAACAAAATTTGCCACATGAGGAATGGAGCCTTTTACCTTGCAAGATGAACAAAGTCTAGGAAGATGAGTATGATGAAAATGGAGAGTGTTCTCAACAAATAATGCCCTTTCATATTTCACTTGAGTAACTTATTTCATTTACGTGTTTCTGTGTATGTGTTGTGTTGTGTGTGCGTAGGGCAAATAGGAAAATAGAGATTAGGGCTATTCTCATAAGAATAGGAAAGTCTGGTTGATCTTTTCAATTTTTATGTGGCCAGTAGAGGGCCAGGTTGGACTCTGAATGATAATATTAAAATGGACCTTCAAGCAAAAGGTTCTGTATTAGTTGCATTGTGCCTTCAGGTTTTAATGTGTGCAATTAATTAAAATGACATACCTGCCACAAGATCCCAGATGCTATGACCAATGAGGGCACATCAAATCTTATAAGAGAGTCAGCCAGCTCTGAACTCATACCAGTGAGAGCCGACATATATAATTTTGCTATTCTCTCATCTAGACCAAACTTGGATGAGTTAGATGAGGTCAACCAGCTGGCATGGAGCTTCACAGCCTCTGTATATTGTAAGTAACTTGCTGCAACAAATGTATGGAAAGAACAGTGAATGGAGCAGTAACACAATTTATCCACAAAAATATTTAGTGTCAGAATCCTGTAGAATGTCACATTAGCCAATCTAAATATTGTCATTCCCAAATATTTACACTTGCCACATTTAACAAGGATTTATTAGCCACCTTTGTATTATGGTCTGTCCTTCATTCTGGAGATGGGACAAACCCTTCTTAAGAACAGAAAGTATCAACACCATGTTCACAAAAGCCTCCTATTGGGTCTTATTCTGAATTAGGTGCATCTAATTCACATGTTCAGAAGCTACTTTTTTAAGAACAATTTTAATATTTCCTCCATTTAAGCCTAGATCTTTCAAGCAGTCTTTCCCTTTAACACTTAATATGCATTTCTTGTTTGCTCTTGTGTGATACATGTTCTTCCCATGTCATCCTTGATTCCATGATCCTAATAATATCTGGTGAAAAGCGCAAATTATAAAGTTCTTCACTCTCTTGTTTTACTGCTCTTAAACCTAGTTACTCTACCCATCACTTTGTTCTCAAACATTATCTATGAATATCCTTCCTTCATAGTCACTGAACATCCTAGTTAAGTGGTTAACTCTTACTTTGTATCTGAGATTTGTTTGCAATTCTCAGCTGGAGGCCTGTTCACCTGACTGAGGTTTATAATGGTTTTCCTCAGTCCATTCTGGAAAACGCTAGGAAAATACCATGATCAACTTCCTTCCATAGCCTTCTCTACAATAATTCACAATCATCTCACCATTCAAATCCATATAACATATGCAACTAAGAAAACTTAATTAAATAAATTAAGATCCCAATTTCACTCTTCAGGGTGACTGATAGATTTTATATTCATATACAAACCAACAAGTAAAATTATAATTTAAACATAACACACAGGCTGTAAAAAATGCTGGTTCCATTTACCATGTGCAGCACTATTAGCAATGTTGTTTTCAAACTGAGTAGCCACTTGCTTACAGTTGTAATGCAGGGCATACAGTTGCTGTGGAACTGGTATACTGTGCAGAAGTGCTGGTATAATTTTACCAATACTGGTTGCTGGAACTGGTAAACCCAACAACATAGAAAGTGTGGGAACTAAATCTATCTGTAACACAGACCCTGTAAGTACATCTCCCAGCAGGCCACTGAAACAAGGTACAAAGACACATGGAAATTATTAAATGGAGGAATCTGTCTTCACCATGGCATGTTATAACAATGTTAATCAAGAGATGTCAGCACTGTATGAAATGTGTACATGTAACATCAGTGTTATAAAACATAAATTTAAGCCACTTAAAGAATAACACTGTTTATATGAATCCAAAAACAACTAGCAAAGATGATGGAGGCAGCAAGGACCTCTGAAACATTTTAAACTTCTACCAGATTATATGGCACTACAACCCAGGAGACAACCATCTTAGTATTAAATGGGCTGTTATGCTTTTAAGAAGATACTATTCCCTGCATTTCCCTGAGTGAACACTGTTGAATAGTTGTTAGCATTCCCACTAGTATTTGGTATATTCCTAGTTGAAATCTCAGTCAGTACCTTGTAACAGGAAATGACCTCTTCCTTCCTTAAACTTACCACGCTATATAACCAATGCAGTTGACAAAGTGTTAATACAGAAATCTAGAAACAAAACAGAATTTAAAAAATAAAACAAAGAAACCTGTCAGATGTAAATTTCCCACTAAATACCATATCTGAACATTTTCAGAAGTCCATATTTACAGTCAAGTTAATGAATAATAAGTACATTTTTGTACATGTTACATTCATTGTTCCACTGTTCATGATATTCACTGTTTTTACTTCGGATTACATTAAAATGGGTATTTATCAGATTTCTCACAAAAGTCTCAGTTTACAAAAAAACATACCATAAAATATTAATCTCATTAAGGTTTACAACTTATGTTTAAAACACTTTCCAACTTTGTGGATACTTAATATGTTAAACATAAAACTGTATTTAGGCCTTCAGATATCATGGTAGTGTGGATTCACTGAAGTGGCCCAGTATTATTAACATTCTCTTTTCTTGAGAGTTTCACTAAGATTCATAAAAATCTGTTCATCAATAGTACCACTGACAATTGTTCACAGGCACAGCATAGCATGGCATGAGAAAAGAATGGATACAAAAGAAAATGTATAATATTAAGAGTCATAAATCAGCTGTTCTGTTGAAGCAAGTTTTGATCTTCTAACTGCCCAGTTCTTCTCTTCTAACTATTCAGATAAAGAACACCTATCCTCACATCAACTGCAACGCTTTGGAAAGTTTTGAAGCTCTAACTTCAACAAAAATCCACCCCTGATCATGCCCAATATTATCATCTACAAACCTAAATTCTCTTGCCATAATTACTTCAAGTACTTTGACACTGACTAATTAACTAACTCTCTAGCAGCATAACCCAAAGATTCAATATTATTAACACCACCAGTGAACACAATCCCAAGCCAGTTCTATTCGGTTCTCATCCTCACAGCTCATGTTCCTAAGACATCTTACATGTTACACTCCCATTTACTTCTTTATCTTTCAAGCGACTGTTTACCGAGAGGCTTTCCTGCTAAAATTTTGTATGCATTCCTTGTCTCCCCCATGTTACCTACATGCCCCACCCACTATAGTCCTATATCATAATCCTAACAATACTTGTATATATCATGAAGTTTATAGTTATTTAGTATTCTAAATTGTTCAATTACTCCATTATTCTTAAGTCCATATATTTTTCTGAAACTAAAGATCACAATTATATGCACATTAGGCATGTCACATTTGTTAATTATTAGAACAAACTGAACATTTCAGCAACATGACCACAATTTGAGCTCATAACATTGATTATGAAAATTACCTGGTCATTTCTTCTGAACAAATGTTACTAATAACAATCAGTGGAACCAAAACCTCTTCTAGAGAGGCTCCACCATGGCTCCCTGAATTCTTCATACCATGGTCTCCACACACCACCAGTACTGATGGAACACTAAAATGTTTGTCCTAAAGAAATAAATATTGTAGTAAGTAATACAATATTGATATGTTGTCACCCAAGTAATTTTTGCCAGGCGTAAATTTCGTACCATGACCGACTGGTAGCCCTCAGCACAATTGTAAAAAATTCAGCACTCTATTCTGATGGCTCTCACAACCATATGCATCTTTCTTGTCCAAGGTGTGGTGTTAGAATTATATTATTTAACTACATGAAGACTGAGCCTCTAACAAATTATATAGTCCTGTGACCCACCAGTAACTCTTGCAGTATCGAAATTTATACTCATATAATCCACCAGTGACCCTCATGGGAGCCAACATGTTAGATAAAATATAATTAAACTTAAAAATTACAAAACAAGAATCAACAGGTAGTATCAGCAAGCACAATGCTTCAAGCTAAACTGTGACCTAGCCTTTCTACAGTAATGCAGGAACTAGAAGAAATATTCCGTAAATATATCAAACTTCACAAACACTGCCACACCAGGATTTTAAAAGGAATCACGTCTAAGGACTTCTAAATGTTGCCAGATTTGAAATGTGACTCTCTTCCTGGATCTTTTTCAGTTACCAAATATATCCATATATCAGAAAATAAGAAGTTGCACTATAAATACAATAATTACACCTGCTATCAGCAACTTCATCCTGCAGGTGAAAACGGCAATGTTTCATAAATATCAGTAAACCAACCTTGCACAATCTTGTATTAACACACTCAAAAGAGAAAAATCTACCTGAAATGTAAAATTCTTAAAACAAATTATAACACAAACATTATAACCTTGAATAAACAGATGGATGTAAACACAGTTACAGTAGATCCTATGTCTATATTGTATATTGCATCAAGTTTATGTCAGTCTTATGCTCTTTCAAGTTTAATTGAATAAGAATTTTTATTTTGCTTACTGCACTAAAATCCATGAAAGTTAACCCACAAAACTGTAAATAAGTTGAAAAATGTGGGTAATTTCTAAGACTCAATAATGCTAAAACATAACAGCATGATAGGAGAACTTTGCTACTTTACTGTAAGGGGAATGACATCAAGACTGGAATCATGAAACATCTGTTCTAATAACTGTTTGTATATTGGAATGTTCCACAATTCTGATTTCAAGTTTATGATGACAAGAATGTTGTTATGGTAGTAATAAAATACTGATTATCCAGATTAGGATGTAGTCATTTCACTTTATTTCCAAATAACATTTTATATGTCATCTGTGATGCAGGCTGAATCTGTAAAAACAACATATCTAACCACCTGAATCTCTGAGCCCTGTGTAGTTCATTTACCTTACCCATGTTAAGAAACTGTGATGAATCCTCTTCACTATATGATCCATCTGTTGTAGCTTGGGTCTTACAAGTGGACTGTATGGGCCTTCAACATGTCCAATGTGATCCAGCCCCAGATAATGGAGAATCATCAGCCTCCAATCCTCAGTATTCAACTCAGCAGCCAAGTGCCTGGTCACATTGTCATCCACCTCAAATCAATAATCAATTCTAGGATCAAACATAATATTGTCATACGAACTATCTCCAACATCCTAAATTACCAATAATCCTAAATATGTCAGTCCAAACTCCTGTAGTTGATATGAGATAATGTTCTCATGGCAGTGAAGATGTCAATATTGGTCTTCTGGGTAGTTATGCAATGTGGATTTGCAAGTAGATACCAACATTTTGGGACAAACATTGACACACTATATTTAGATTTTTGACTAAATGCTGACTGCCTGGTTTTATAAATAAAGTTAATCTTCCACAGTTAATACTGCTCCAAAATTGCAAGTATAGATTTTAATTCTCCTCTTTTGTTTCTTTAATTTTTAACAAAAAATATTTCACATAGCAACTGCCTTACCTCTGTGAAATCAGTAACATAAAATGATGTTGTTCCTTCACTTCTGGTGAACACATCAGGAAACAGTTTTAACCATGTTTCATCTCCATAGAAAATTAACTTCATGTCATGCTGTACTGCTTGAAGCAATAAATTATCTTCCAAGATCTTACTGCTGCCCAAGTTCAGAGCAACATCTACAAAGCTGGGTATAGTACCAGTTGTCATTGCCTGAAAAGAAATGGATATTGAGTATCTCATATACGTTATAGTGTAAAGAGCAGTGGGGCTGTCAATGAAACTTTTGAAACTATGTTACCTAGCTTGAAAAAAGAGATAAGACTTTTCAATGACTTGTATCGAGCCATAACATTAGCAACAGCTCTTGAACAGCATAACATCTCTAGCTTCACTGCATCCTACACCCCTGCAGTATATTCACATGATCCATTTTACTATGTATATCAATTAAAGTGAGAAATGTAGATCCTACTTTAATTCTAGGCATTGTCACTGTTGGTGGTCTGGCTTTTCCAGTCAGCAAACATGCCTTCTTCCCAGCAACTAATGATGCTGTATATGGCATATTCAATTGCCCTTCTGCACCTTCAACAAAGTCCCAGCGAAGAGCATCAATGACCATAATAACAACTCTTCCAACAGAAGGTTTGTAGAGCTCATCAACATTGACTCTGGAAAATTTAATCCATACAAAGTTAATACAAAATATTACAGCAGCCACTGTAATAAATATATTTGATGCAATTTTAAATCTAGCATTCAACAGTAAATCTTAAATGTCTGATATTTTATGAAGTGAGAGACAAGAATAGTTACCTAATATTGGCTACTGTTTCAGGCAAACTACCCACTGTTGCTACTGTTCCATCATATTTCTTCATTGGAAAGAAACCATAAAGAAAGAGTATGATAGAGCACATTCCTTGTATTATTAGATAATTAAGTATATAGCTGTGCATTGCTTGGCCTGCAAAAAAAGAGCAGCATGACAAAAATCAATATTACCTCGGAGTGAGGTTAGGATTGAATTTATTTACATAATATTTAATTTATTATTACTTAAAATAAATAATTACACTGCTGAAACAACCTTACGCAACACACAAACACTTTCAAGAATAAGAGCTTTAGAAACACCTGTAGTGACAAGTTTTGACTAAATCAGCTGATTTTACTTATATTACCTTTCAGGTTTCAATATGGTGACAGTCTGAAGACGGTGTGAGTTGAACTGCTTAAAATTTTGTAATTTCTGAGAGAATAAAGTCACATAGGTAAACTGTATTATATATTAAGTTCTTACAGCACATGTATTACTGTATAATATACCCAGAAGACAGAAATCTTCATACGTAATAATGTATAAGACTATGACATTAATGTACTGCTCAAGTATACTTTCTTCGCCAGCAGATGGAGGAAGTGCTAGGACTTTTTACACAGAATACTTCTATTTGAAAATTTGAGCTAACTCACATTGAATACATTATAATAAGTTATGAGGCTCTATTAGGTTGCATTTTATTTTCTTGGGCCAAGTAATATTTACAGAGAGAATTATATTAAACTGCTTTTTTAAATTGGGGGATCAGGATTTGTAAATTTCCATAATGTGAATGGGTAAAAATATCAAGATATAAATATTTTGCATAATTATGTTTGACTTATAATCCTATCTGCTCCTTAAAGTATAGTGGTTTGTTTGTAATAGTATGACAGAACGAAGTGCCTCTAATAATAATAGTAATTCAATTACTGTTATTCAAAAGACGCTAATGTAAAATATATAGTCATCATGTACATGTGTCATGGATAAAAAATGTATTTTAGTAATAGCTGCTGCACTATGTACCTCAGGGCCAAGGTTTGTCTCAGGTACATAGAAGTAAACACCCTATTGAGTGGTGAATAGATGGAATAATAATAGCTAATAGGACAACAACTAATAACATTATATATTATTCTTGGAACAGGTGTGATGTCATCTGTTCTGGAAGAAGCATGGAATGAAGCTACATCAGACCTCCCTAAAGAGGTAACAGATGATTGGTGGACCAAGATATTGGAGAAGTACAGTGAAGATGGAAGGAGTTATCACAATATTCAGCACTTGGAAGAAAAGTTTGAAGAATTTAAAACAGTTAAACATATTTTGAAAAATGTAAATGCAGTGACACTGGCTATCTTCTTCCACCAGTAAGTAGTAAAAATAATGTAATTTTTGGATTCTGCATAATTTTTTATGTAGATATGAGAACCTCTAGACTGATATTATAACTGTTTGCTTACAGTTATGAATATGATCCCAAAGAAGTGGATTGTGAGGAAAAAAATTCTGGACATTTCAATAAATTTGCTGACCAGAGTGGCATCCCTAATGTAAGTGAATGTAAGTTTTCTGTATTGGTACCTATATAGGAAGGTCATCAAGGGTGTGATGTAAGCTGATGAGAGGTTGCATAAACATCTACCAGACTACACAGTGCAGCAACCGAGAAGACAGCCATCTTCAAGCATACCTTCTAGTTGTAGTTTGTGAAACATGGGTATTTGGTAAACAGTGTGTGTGAGAGAGAGAGCACATTCATATGCATGTATGTGAACAGAGAATCTCACCCACCACCCATGTAGTCTTATCCATGGAACTCAAATTTAAAAAATCAGCTATACTGACTGTGTGTGTATGTGTGTAAAGGCGTGGTATTGGTATTGTATCCCACAAGGTTCCAGAATTGTATTCATTACTCAAAGGATTATTCAATTGGTACAAATTTTAATTGTTGTCTAGTTTATCATAACACATGTCACTTTTATTGCTATTTTTAAATCTCATTAATTTTTTCTTCCTGAAGTTTTCATACTTCCCCAGTTCTTATATTCTGCAACCCTTCAATTCTATTCAATCATATTCTTTCTTCCATTATTTTATGAATTCCTAATAAGCATTATGTTTTTGGAGTCTTGTTTCCAGATCTTCCAGGTGTGAACACTGAAATGGTTTTCTTGGAGGCAGACATTAACACCAGGATTAACAGTTTAGAGCAGTATGATACTTGGATGCACATTCAGTTGGTCAGACTTGCAGCCCATAAAAGTTAAAGAACACTTGTCTGTAGTATATTACTTCATCATTCGTCTCTTTTCAATATGAATGTGCCAGCTATGCTAATAAAGCAACTACTGACAGCACCATCACAGTGCAGGATGATATCTGCTTGCAGGAGAGCCCTCTTCGCAGTGCAGTTGTGGACCTTCTCTGTGCAGCTGCCACACACAGTACAGATGCACACAAGACAGATGGAATGTATGGCAGTGAGGATCTGCATTTCTTTTTAGACATTGACATGGCAGTTCTGGGGTCCAGTCCAGAGCAGTACTCTGATTACACAGCTAAAGTTCAGAAGGAATATACCTTCTTACCAGAGACTATGTACAGAAGCCTCAGACTTAAGGTGAGCATTGCTGGATCAAACTATTTTCTCAGATAATAATTATGGTACAGCAGTGCTGATATTTCAGCTCACAATTTTACAGCTTTAGGTCACAACTATAGTATAGAAACTTGTAGGTCATATTTCTATCATACTTTTCAGAACAAGAAAAGTGCACTAAACTAAATCAGCACTTATGTATAAATTAAATATTTCTATGTATGATGTATATGTAGCAATATATAATACAAATTCTATCCACAGCCCTTATGTGTTTAGTTCAGGAACTATACATTTCAGCTTAAATGAACCATTTTAGGTTAACATTAACTAACTAAATGTCTGGTAATAGAACCTGAAGGTTCAACATCACTAATGCCAAAGCCAGCCAATGGACATGATTCTGAACCATTCCAATCATTTGTAACCTACTTTTTCTTATATTCACTTTCATTATTATCCTCACACCTTCCTTTCTGCCTTTGAAGTGGTCATTTTCTGTATGCAACAGTCCCTGTGATGTATACTGCCTGAGAAGTCTCATGTTCACTACTAGCAGACTGAAAAATGCCATGCTTGTAACTAGTAATACTTTGTAACACTGGAAGTTATAAAATAATAACAAAACAAATGACTGAATAATGATACTAAGAACAGTGAAGCAGCAGAAAGCAACAAAGATGTGTGAGAAATATCTTTGTACTAAAGACCAATGTTCTCCACTCATGAATATGGAGGTATGAATGTGCATAACATTACTTTCCTACCAGGCCACCTACTTCACAAGTATTTTTTTAACTGTTGCATACAATGTTAAAACATATCCTCACAAAAATATGTATGCCTACCTTTTTGCCCTCATCCAGTCCACCATAACCTCAATGATTTGACTATTCTATCAATCAGGTTGACATTTAAGGTATTATATAAATATAAAGGAATATTTATCAACATTAAAGTTGAAACATGTAATACTGTATGTGTATCTCAAGACTCACAAACACAAATCTGAAGTATAAGCAATTACTCAGGATAGATATTTATTACAAGTAAAATTATAGCACTGACATTTTAAAATATTAACCCTTTGAAGATGAGGCTTTTTTGAATAATATGTGGTTAATGCTGTTTAAGTGAAAATCATGAAACCCATAAAATACAAAATAGTGTTAGAGATTATTGAAGCAGGTGGTATATATATTTATCAGTGAGCTTTATAGGGTTAATGGATTTGTTTTTCAGGTACTTCAGAGTTTTTTACAAATCCCAAACATATTTGCCAGCAAAGAATTTCGAGAAAAGTTTGAAACTAAAGCAAGAGCCAACATACAGAAAGAAGTGGACTCTTTGAAACATTGAATTGAACAGTAACATTGCCATTTCTTGTGAGATATTCATAATGTTGTCTTTCACAGTTTTCAAAAACTTACGGTGTTAGCTGTAGTTTTTTAAGACAGATTAATTATGCAACTTTATAATTATTTCTTCATCACAATTAAATTCCATAAATATAGTGATTAAATTGCTTGAGATTACTTAAGGTACTGTATTATTCATAAAGATACAAAAATAGCATATTTTAGAGCTTGCTGAAATGTTTTTAGTTTCTTGTATTACCTATCTTTGATTGAGAAACATTTACATCATCATATCCAGATATTTAAATGTTGATTGAACACAGTGAGAAATTGTATGTCGTATTGATTCTTCAGAAACTGCAAGCTACTGAGGATGAATCTGTGCTACATAGCTGTGTTCAGTGATACAATGTATCTTATGTTAGTCTTACTGTTCCAGCTTTCATGATGTGGCCTTCTGAATCTCATTTTTCCAACTAAGGAAGGTATTATGTACAATCTTGTAGTACAAGAGTAACTTTGATCACTAGTGAGAAATTTCCTTCTAGGGAATCTCATCCATTAGTTCAAGCATTTGAGAAACTGTTTAATTATCTGGAAATGTAGGATCAAATTCTGCCTCAGCAGCAATTTTTAACTCAAGTTCAAAGTTTTGTATTTTTAACATGAAAACAACACACATGAGGAAGGATTTAAGAATTGTGACAACTTGTCTATGCAAGAGTTTTTGAATAGAATAGAAAATAACTTCACTAATTCCAACATAAATATTTAAATAATAGTGATAATATATAAAAGTTTTCAGCTATTTCATTACAAACCAAAGACATAATGAATTGCAGGACAGTCAGAACTGAGACTTGAATCCTATTTTGAGGACAAATTATGAATCCAAACTTGCCCACTGCATGTATTGCTGCTTTTGGATAATGATATTGTCTTTTGGTGGACTGGTTTGCCAATTTCATCATTAAGTGACAAACAGATGGTCCTGGCCTTCTTATTTATAGTAATTGGATGGTGGAATAGTGCAAATCAGAAACTGTGACTGGTGGATCTGTAAAACTCTTAGCTGCCCAGAGAAAGAGTTTGAGCCTGGGATTTATGTTGTCCCACGTCAAAGTTACTGTTAACATTTTCTCTGCAAAGAAAATAAGTGTCTTTATTTGTTTTAATAATTTTATGATAGTTTGTAATTTTTATTGATGGAAATCACAGATATTTGGCTTGAAGCATTACAAGGTAGCAGAAGAATTTTTCACTGTATTCTCAGACATTAAAGAAGTTCAGAGCAGAAATAGCCAGTATTTCTGTGTAGGAAATGTTGTTCATAGTACTGAAAGTGTTTGAAATATATAATTAGTCCAGCCTCTTGTTTTGAAAGTGAGAACAATATGTATCTTTTAAACAAAAGTATTGTGTCTGTTACATGTCTAGTGATTGAAGTACCTTATATATTTTTTAACATTCACATTAAAATGTTACTGATATTTTTTAAACATATTTATTACGTCATGAACACAAGTGTAGCATGTTTTTTTCTTGAGAGACCAAAAATTCCCATATTAATTTTTATTGAGTTACATACAATGGAAACTCAAAGTAAAAAAGCTAGCTCTGATCAAAGAGAAGAACATTGATATCCAACTCAAAGCCATTCATTAGTAGCCTGTTTTTGATAATACAGTGTTGTAGGATTTGAGGTTTCCACAGCGGTGAGTCTGAAGATTGCTGTCTTCAATACAGTGTTGGCTTCAAACTGAGGTAGTAAATGTTTACAACTGTAAGAATTATATCTCAGATATGTTCAATGTAAAACAGAGTTGTTGCTGCTGCTGCTTTAAGTACCATGATAAATGATATAATGATATGACTTGGTGCATTACTTATAGTGACATCCTTAATAGTTACCATCACAAAATTGTAATTATAATTTATTTAACTGTTATACTGCAGCATTGTGTTGCAATATGTATGACATTTGTGATGTATCTATCCTATTTGTGGCATACCTGATTGTGTTCATTTTTATAATTTCACAAAGAGACATTCCTTTTTATTAGGAAAGGAAAGAATCAGTCATATCTGGGCAAAAGTTAAGCAAATGACTGTGTTCTCATCTTTTAATTATTTTATGTTTTAAGATGAGTTTGTGGTGTCTACTGGTGTGTACTTGTAAATTGGTAAACATAAATGTTGACATTTAATTGTTTAGTGTTTTGTTACAGTTTTGCATGCTTCAAATGCAAGAATTAGGAAAATTCAGAATTGACAGCCAACATAAGCCCTACCCAAGTCCTGACACATATACAAAATACTGATAGTCAGGTATCTTAAAAGAGTATGTATGTAATTCCAAGTAAAGCACAATGTTACATACATATCAGGCAGTTACCCTTTCTGTGGTCTGTCAGTGTCATTACAGTTCTTTTACAGTGACAAAGAATAGAGCTAAACAGTACAGGTAGGACTCGATTTATGCCGCTTCAATTTACGCCTGCTTCACTTTTGCGCAATGATGTTATATCCTGTAATCATTTTTATAAAGTTCTTATAAATCTGTGTATTAAATATTGTCTTTTTCTGGGCTAAACACACATTCTGGATTCTATTAGTTGTAATGATAAGTGACTACCTCTAAGTGGTTGTAGAAATTCTGTTTTTTAACTGATTTTAATTCATCAAACTGCAGATGATAGATTAATCAACAGAGATTATGCACAACAAATTTAGCACATTTCCTTATAGAGGGTTTACACAAAAGAATGGTGCGGTTTCAAAAGTTAATAAAAAAAAAATTATATCCGGCCGCTGAAGGTGTATGTTGTGCCCGTGTAAGGTGAGAAATAAATTTTTTATTAACTTTTGAAACTGCACCATTCTTTTGTGTATACCGTGTATGAACTGGCATATTCACTGCTGCTTATCATAACATGATTCCAGGAATGTTAATAAAAATATTTTTCCTCCATTTCTTCCAGGTGTCTAAACTCAATACTTGGCTCATGCCGGGGGAGAAGGCAATTTGTTTTAAGCGACAAACTGAATGCTGTAAGACACTTCAAAATGTTACGATATTGCGTGTGACCAGTCAGTTGTCACTCAGGAAAATTCACAACACTTAATTCCATGCAGGTTGCGGGGCACCCCCTTATTTTGAAAGTGATGTCTGCTCGTGGCTGCACGATCATTTCCCAGGACAATATAAAGTATCGGTAAAATCAAATGTTGGCTTTAACGCCATAGACGTCCAGCTGCATACACCAACTGAAATTTCGGAAGTTTTTTATAATGTTAAATAAACCGCGTACGCATTTTTATTTAATTTACGGACAATACAATAACAGATCAACACAACGCCATGTCTCCTCTCCTACGCATTTTCCCTATTGACCACTAAACTCGCAGCACACCTTGATGGTGCGCTGGATCGATTGCAAGTAGCATTTTATCTTTACTACGCTACAGAGGACAAGATAAAGGTAGGTACTATTCGACAAGTGGATTCCAAAACATTATGAAATTTGAAGATGTTTTAATAGCTCAAGCACGTCCATACATGGAGAAGAAAAAGTAAAAATGTAAATGCACAAACGTCACAGCAAGTTCCTTGAGGCAATACGCATAAAATACTACGAGGTGAAGGTCATGCTCCCAATGTATTTCCTATTCGTACTATTGGCTGGAAAGTGGGTACATTTGTAATTTCTAGGCATTATTTTAAATATACGAGTTCAAGTTCCAAATATCTTAAAATACCATAGGAAACAGCTCGTATTATACAAAGCGTATCACAACTGCTTCTGATGCATATTTTCGTCTGGAATAGGGTCATTTATAGCGTGTGTGTATATATATATATACCACCGGCGGCGGCTCCAGGCGGGCTCGCGCCCGGACCCTTCCACGCACACCGCCGCGCCCTCCTACTCGAATTTTGAATCCCACGTATCCCGGGCGTTGGATAGGGAGAGGAGGGCCGGTTGAATGGCCAGCCCGCTCCCCAGACTTGACACCTCTCGATTACTACCTTTGGGGGCATGTCAAGAGCATCGTTTACGAGACACCAGTGGACGACCCAGAACAACTTTTGGCCAGAATACTTACTGCATCTGACGGGGTCCGTGAGACTCCTGGGTATTTGAAAGGATGCGCCAGAGTTTCGTTCGCCGATGCAATGCCTGCATTGAATGTACAGGACGCCACTTTGAACACACGTTGTAAATTTGGTTTGTAAGATTGCTAATGTAATCCTTGTACATTAATGAAAAACAAAATTAAGCTAGTAAGAGAATAGCAAACTACGATTATTTCAGCGGTATGTTATCAGACTCCCCTACCTTCAATGGCCTCGACTGACTCAGGATAACTTCGGAGGACGTGGATTCCTATTCGAAAGTTGTTCTCTCTGAGCCCCTCTATACGCTCCTTCAGTTTTGCCCTAACCTTTTGAATCACCTGTATGTGTGTGAGGTGAATATGAAATATTCATTTAGGGCGTATGTTTAAATCTGGGTTACAAAGTCTCACAAATATCACGGATGAGGGAAGACTAAAACAGAATTTTTGTTGGGAAACGTCTTAGAAGTTGTGTATTGGGGAGACTGGGATGTACAGAAGACAAAATTAAAATTGATCTCGGAAAACAATCTGTTGTAGAGAGCCTAAACTCACTAGCCTTTGGGTAAGTTGCAGTAGGGGACCATCATTTTTGCACAACTTAACCTTGCGGTTACAACACTAGAAGCTAATAAATAATTGGTAAATTAGTTTAATTTAGTTAAGTTACATTGTAAGATTTTGTTTTCCTTCCAATATTAAATATATCACATTTTTTAAAGTTTATTACATATATTAAGCTGGACACGTAGATTATATTCGTCATTTCAGTTGGTGCTAAGCAACAAAGCAATGGTGAAAGTTTGGTAAGATTTGAGTTTCTCATGGCGGTGAGTATGAAGATGGCAGTCTTCTGGGTTGCAGCGCCTTGTAGTCTGGTTAAAGTTTACCAAAGTTTCAGACTCCCAACCGTGAGAACTTAAAATCTCACACATCGTGTAAATCAAATATACGTCAAACGATTACCAATATCCAACATAATTTTAGTTGGCCTAATAATGAACTAAGCAAATTTATAATTTGAGAGTAGCATGCAATTAGCTGACAGGTTAGTTAGCATGCTGAACTCGTGATCAAATGGTCACCAGATGGAATCTTACTCAGAATCGACATTTATTTACTTGCTGATTGCAAATTTAAATATGTTAGAGACTATTTTTTAAAGAACTTCCTACTTACATATTGAATCTATGTCGCAATGTTGGTTAATTGTTTATGAAACAATGTTTCATACCAAACATAATTTTTTGGCATGTTTACATATTTATAATCTACATTCATGCCAAATCTAAATGTTCCTAGCTCCAATGGTTCATTACATATCGCTGTCACTTTCACAGGACCGCCATATTGTTGCATTACATTCTATTAAACAATTTACCGACAAAAACTAATGGTTTTTAAACAAGACTGTGCATATGTGACTATGATCATTGGGCTATAAGAAAACAAGACAATGCAAGGGTAATGATCTTTAAATTGAGAAATTTGGTTCCTGTAAAACATTTGTTACTGTGTGATTAACTTATTAATTAACAATTACTGTTGTTTTGAAACCTAGCATGCTTTATTAGTTTGTTGATGAGTTTTTATTTCAGCAACGTTAGTCAATAGTTCTCAGTATTCCAGTCCACTTGTTTTACTGTTAACCCAACAGATATCTAATCATGAACACATACCACTTAGAGGCCAAAAACCCTTTCAAGCCAAACTGTGTAAAACAAGTGATTCGTGCCCTCATTGACAAGGAGCTGGAGGGTGTGAAGTACAACCCAGAAACTTGTACTAGGCTGTGCTTGACCCTGTCTGAAGAATTGCGAAGTAGGATCAAGGTTCTAGGGTATGACCGGTGAGTTGGTTCAATTCATTTGTAATGTTAACATGTAATTATTTGTATTTTTGGATACACAATATTGACTTTGACAAATAATATCTTTACTGCTGTGAGAACCTCAAATCTCAAACATTTTTAATACTGTTCAACATTTTACAATGACATGGTTAAGGCAATTTTAAGCTTATTTCTGGTGATGTAATAGCTCTCAATGTTCATCTTATTGATGATAGTAATATTTACATTTCATTATAATTTTTGTCTTTTGCCTTTTGTTAACAGTATTTTTATGATACATGTTTTGGTGGATGAACTGTAGGTTACCATGTGACACTATTTTTAGATCCACCTTTCCCGTTAATATTTCTTTGTCATCTAGCAACTTTCACTAATTTCCATACAGGATAAGAGAAGTACTGACACTACCTCACAAGGGCTACTGAGTTGCCAAAATTAAATAAATGGTGCCCAAAGATAGTATTATGTTACTTTTGTCCTCTCTTGTAAAATTCTGGTTTGTCTGGTCCTTTTAGAATAATGCATTCTATTTTAAACATATGCATAAGATGGATGATAAATATGTATGAAATTTTGAATAGAAATCGTGAAGGGAAGAGACCAGTTGGAAGACCTAGGCATAGAGGGAAGGATAACATTAAAATGTTTGAAGGGTGTGGACTGGATTCATCTGGCTGTGGATAAGAACCTGGGCAGGCTCTTGTAAAAACAGTAATGAACCTTCATGTTACATAAGACATGAGGTATTTTTTGTGGATAATGGATGGACTATGGTCTTTTCTGCTTTTAACGCAGGAAATTGATATGCTGGTCTCTTAAATATGTTCAATTTTTGCCTGATTACTTGGTTTCTGATATAATCTTTTCTCCTGTAACCTGCTACATCTTTAAGAACCTCGTTTCAGCTATTTCAGTTTGACTCTCTTATAATTAAATTAGGATCCAGCACTTTGATCTATACAGCAATGTGGAAACAGATATTACTCTCTCTGTTCTTGCTCTGCTGTCTCATTTTATTTTAATTGTGGTGCAAATGTATTCAAATTACTTAGTTACTTAATCATTAAAATGGCCAAAAATTTTATTATATGCCTGGTATTTCAATTTACTGACTTGTTCATCTAATTTGTCATTCAGCACAATTACAGAGCCGACTGCACCTTTTATATGTGTTACAGATGCAAACTAGTGTGCACAGTGGAAATCGGAGAGAAATGTTCACAGAGTGTGTATTCTGTCCTCAGCTTCCTCTGGGATACTGAGCATGACAATTATGCTTTCTACACATATGAAAACTCTTATATATATGCAGTGGCATGCGTGTATGGGGTTTACTATGAATGATACTGGTCATCTTCATACATCAATAGATGTTTCGATATTGTCTGATATATTGTATTACATTTACTCATTAGCAATATCTATAACTATATTTTTACATTAAGTTAATTATCATCACAAAGATTTATAAATAAAATATTTTGTTATATTTTATTATAGTTAATATTTAATGTTAAATGTAAAAAAGTAACTAGTCTTATATAGTGACTTCCCTGAAATGTTCCACCATTCAAAGAACTCTTTGTTCTGCAAGTAAAAATGTTCTTCTCTAACAACCCAGAATTTGACATTTGACCTTTCCCTCAGCCAGATTTGTAGTCTGTCCAGAACATCATTCTTCTGCTCCAAAAGCAGAAAAAACCATAGCCCATCCTTTATCCATATAAATGAATGCAAACCATCATCAATATTCCATTAATCTGTGCAGCAGAAGAAGAATGCAGCAGTCACTGCTCTGTATGTAAATGTACATTCTCTTACTGTCCTGGCCTCTGAATGCATGCTAAATAAGACTGAAGGTGGAATCTACATTTTAGATGGAAGTGCTTGCAGAATGGTTTTCCTATTTTGTCCCTGCTGACAGGATGATAATCTTAAAGGTAAGGAAAGGAGAAGACACACAAAAATCTGCACTAAAACTTCAATTGTTCTGCATGAAATTTCATTCCTTTGCGCTTAGACTACCAGATCTCTGAATCCATGTTATATGAACTCATGTTATAGGAATGAAAGGTAATTAATTTCCAAACACTTCTGAGGAGAAAGTTACAGATGCTTAGATTTACTGAGAAGAAACTATGAATGACAGTTACAGACAATAAGTATACTGCTTAAATTTTCATGTTTCACAGCCATCAAATTAGGCAATGTCATGCAAACAGTAGTCAGACTTCTTACAGCTGTTAGAGTATGACAGTGAATGAATTAACATTTCAAACAATATTTAAAACGTATTTAATAAAAAATTCTCTTATGACTTCACAATAACATATATTACAGTATCACCTATATCTACTATTTCAGGAGCATCTAATATAACAAGAACAGATGCGACACTTACACAGCACTGCTTCTGAAATCTATCCTGAAGCAAACATATATTCAATGCATGCTGTAACAGATTAAAACATGCATTAATGTCTTTGTATTACTAACCCTTCTACTGTCACACTGGAGCTACTTATAACTCAATATGGCGTTTCTCATAGGTTATGTCACAACGTAAATTGGTAGGAATTAAAATATTTCCCATAATTTTCCTATGGCACATAATGTAAAAACATACTAACAGATTCTGATATCTTTTGGTTATACTGTAGTCTATTAGTGTGAAGTCTTTATCAACACACAGCATTAGTTTTCCCCCAAAACTCTATGATATAGAACTAAGGCTATTGTAGGATTTAAGGTTTTCACAGTAACATAGATTTAGATTGTAGTCTTCTGGGTTGTTGCACCATGTAGTCTGGTCTGAAATGCTGGTATACAACCAGAATACTACATGGTGCAACAATCCAGAAAACCTTAAAAATGTATGTATTTATCCACTTATCTGACTGTACTGTGCAGCAAGTATCAGAGGAACACAATATTTGTAACATGCTGCAAAAACTCAACTTGAAAGAGTACAGTTTCAGGAAGAAGCCTATTTTGAAAGAGTTCACATACCACAAACATACAAAATTACTGCAATATCTCACTCTTGTAGAGTTCGGTCAGTCCTTCATATAATATGCATTGGTTTCACTTTTATTAAGACAACAATCACAATATCAAAATCATATCATATGCTCTATTATTTCAAACCTCTCTTTCCATGAAATATCACTTTCTGTTATCACAATCTAGAAACGGCTGGATGTGTATCACATACTTGTAATTGTGTATACCTATATGAAAGGACAAATGTTTCCATTTAGTTTCCATTATGCAAGTTCACTTTATAAAGATGTTAATACCAGTTTTTGTAATACATGGTGTCTTGCATTATTTACAAACACAGCTACAAAAGATACATAAGATTAAACATGATAAGAAGATATGGATATTTAGAAGAATGTGATATAAAGTGTTGTAGTTTATTTTTTAGTGCTATCAAAGCATTTTAATTTAATTTAAGACAATTTACAAGTGTAGGATGAAATCTGTAAAATAAGTAAACATAACAAATTCAAGATGGGTAATCTTGAAACAAATATTTATGAAAAAAGTTATTGTTTCAATGAGACAAAAAGTTAGGATGGTATATTAAAGGTGAAATAGGAACTGTATAAGAATATAAGAGAGAAAGGATGAAAAATAACATGTTATAGGCATGATAATAGATAACAAAAAAAACCTATGATACATGAGGATATAAAGACTCTTTGACATAAAAAACTGAAGTCAAGTGTTCCCAGTGACTACGCAAGGATGGCAGAGAAACCAGTCAAGTGTGGAAAGTGGGAACTGGAATCAAATTGGCTATTGAAAACCGTAAGACATGTTGAAGAAAAAACAATGTCCTATTTTTTCTATACTTCTTTTAGATCTAAGTTAATAATTCAATAACTGAAAAGACTACATCATATTAAAAAAAGTGCACAGTCCTTGTAAGACAGTTTAAGGGACTAGTTACTGAATGTTTCATAGCAGTAGCTAAACTTACAAATAGTATCTTAAAACATATAATTATTACAAAATTATCTTAAGACAGGACATTCTTAAACTTTTGCCTCTTCTATTTTGAACATTCTATTTCTAACATTAAATATTAAGATACTAACTTATGAACCTGTTCATTTCTAAAGGATCATGATGACGGTTTATTGCTGAATTCCAGAAATTAAATACTGATACTAATTTTAAACAATCATTCTTTGCTTGGTTTGTTAAACTGAATTAAGTTATTCAATAATCTTCCACCTACTACCAAAAGTTTGAATCATGATATAAAAATGTTTAAGCCAGCATTAAAAGAGTATCTCCTACCTCACTCCTACTCAATACAAGAATTTTTAATACTGTAGTCCTAAAAATTTGTAAATAGCTGTTATAACTATATATTTATAGTTGTACTAGAAACAAGTATTGTATTTGTGCTATGGAATGTAAATAAATTCTATTCTACTTATAATTATATATCACTTAGACATATTTATATGTGGTGTTTCATATGCAGTCATTGTAATGGCCATTATTTTCTCTAGTATGGTATCTCCAAGGACCTCGTGTACATATATACATAATGAATGTTTACTTATTACATTCATTGGAGATTCTATATCATAGTCACATATGCACATTATATTAAACTCTTTTATCATTTCTAGGAACACACATTACCGGGGGACTGAATCCAGGTGCTTCAGCTACTTTTCTAATATATTTTGTTAGTAAACTACATGGATATTTGTGACAAAAACTTCAAAAATATAACTTCCTCTTCCACGTGTCTGTATCTCCATTTTCACAGAGAAATTATGAAAATATTAAATCTAAAACTAAATACAAACACAAAATGATACCTCTGGGATGCCACTTTACTTGAATGTTAGAATAAGTTTTTATGAATATCTCATTTAATGTCTATGTTTGACATAACTTGTAGAATTCAATGAAACAAACATCTTACATTATATTTCGGTTACAAGAGTTTCCTTTCCTTTAGGAAACAGTTATAAGCATCTTCAATTAACTTACCTGACAAGAAATTCTGGATTCCTTTACTGGTCATAACATGAAACACATCTCATCCTCATTTGAATTTAATGGACAGAGTCCACTCTTCCCAGGCTTAGAGATTTGTATAAATTATTAGTTCAGAGTTGAAAAGAAGGTGATGAGAAAATGTATGGACTGAAGATGGAGGATGCAACACAAAGAAAATTGTATTAGCTTCACAATTCTTTACAAATATTGCTAGGAAATAAGGTAAAGGAGGATGAGATGGGTAGAGCATGTAGTACACTGGGAGAGATAAGAATTGCATAGTTTTGGCCAGAAAACCTAAGAGAAAAGACCACTTGGAAAATCTAGGCATACAATAAGGAATAAAATTAAATGAATCTTACAAACATCATGTAGGAGGGTGTGGGCTGAATTTATTTGGATCAGAACAGGGCTGCTGTAAACATGGCAATCAACCTTAAGGATATATAAAAGGTAGAACATTTATTTACTAGCTGAGTGATTATTAGCTTCTCATGGACTGTGTTCCATAGTAATATTTCAAGTCTGAAGGATCACAAAGGGAAAGGTCACATACATGTTGGCACTTTAAGTTTTGTCATTTTCATGTCTATAACCTAAATTTTCATGACTAGAACCTCAAGAATCAACCACAATCAAAGTTCTGTTGAACTTTCTTGTACTTCTGCTTGTTCCACTTGCCTTTTTATCTTTACATCTGTTGATAAAACGCACAAACCTAAAAAATACCACATGCAAAAAATCTAGCTAAGTAATGCTGCTGCTGTATTAAATTAAACTAAGGAAGAGACTACATACCTGAAACTTTGCTCTTTCACAGGAAACCTGACTCAGCTACTATGTGCTCCCTGACATCCATAGCAGCTTTCACGGCATCCTGTTCCTGTCTGTAGAATTCAGCACTCCTCACTAAGGTGTCCACAGCAAAATAAAAAATATATTGTAATTACACAGGATATGAAAATTTCAGACCCGTTTTAAAAGTAGGGGTTTATAGTGGTGTGCTAACTGTTCGAAATTTAGATTCAAGTCGAGTTTTTAAAACAAACTCGGCTCGAATCGAACTGATAAAAATGTTCGAAAACATCGAGTGTTGACACTTGTTTCCAATATTGCGCGTAGGATGCATTTTCTACGCAATCGATAAAGCAACCATCGACTTTCAGCTCGTACTGTTATCGATAGTGCACAGTGAGCATCGATCTCACTCTACACGTGTTTCGGTTACATTTATGCGCGCGTGGGAGGCGGGACTGTTGTCTTCGTTGTATCGGCTCATAACGTGCAGTGCGCACAACCGACGAAAGCAAATTTCTGCCGTTCTCATATTTACGATTTGTCGTCTCTAAAATCATACTCTTTAAGCAAAACAAAAATGTATATAATCAAAAACAATGAACCACTTGTAAGATTTGAGGTTTTCACAGCGGTGAATATGAAGATTTCTGCGTTGTTGCACTGTATAGTCTGGTCGATGTTTACCAATGTTTCAGAAGTCAAACTGCCCTCGTCATCAGGGCGATGAATATGCCAATTGCCAACCAACCAAAAAGCTAACTAAGGCCGGAGTCCTGCGCAAGCGCAAGACACATTCCCTTCCTAGGTACCAACATTCCTGCGTACGAAACGCATTGCTGGAAATGGTAAACAGAGCCTTATAATTAAAACGGGAATTTTGCTTACGTTAACGGGGTTCCGTCGTGGCGGGAACATCGACCATTCAAACTAGGGTCTGTTGCTGCTGATGGGAGGTTATCCCATCAGACAACTTGTCCAAAAGAATTTGGTTGGTTGGTTCTCTGGGGTTTGAAACCAGAGGGAGGGGCCGCTTCGGCTGAAGGCCTCTACAGCTTGGGGGGGGGTCACTTCAGCTGAAGGCCTCCATGATTGAGGGTGGTGGGCCGTGCCCCAATTGAATTTTACTCTGGCATCCCGTGCCCCTTTTGAATTATACCCTGGCATTTTCATTACAACTGAGGAAAACCTCACTCGTTGCGCCGACTTGGCCGTCTTTTGGGGACAGCCTCGGCAGTTCCCCCTCGGTTGCCCTTGGGTGACCTCTGTCAGCCCTCATTCAGCACAAGTGCCTCCTGAGTTTCCATATTCAGTGGTGTAAGATAGAGGATTCCAAGAGTTTCTATATACAATGGAACCTAGATATCACATACCTTCAAGAACTGTATTTTCTTGAAGTGTTATACCTGAAATGTATTGCATTTTCAAGTCAGAAATCAAGAAACAGGAAACCAAGCTGCTGGTAGAAAAATTCATGAGAGACTGGAGAAAGAGAAAAGAGCTGGACTGCAGATGGAAGCAGCATTATAGTCCTCATTTTTAGGTTTACTCACGTGATGATGCCTTTGTTCTTGAAGCCACATCCCTCCTTTGTTGATTCTGTTTGCTGCTCCATCCCTGCTGCCTGATTTCCTCATTGCACCTTGGATGGAGAAAGCTGGATGGTAAGTCACTTTGCTGCAATCGAACCAGTTTCTCTTGTTCTCTATTGAGTGCCCATCTGTCTGCCTGACTCTCTACAACCTCATGTAGTCGAGCTGTTCCTTCATTTAGGCGCACTTCAGTCAGCTGCTTCAGCAGATGCTCTACTTCTTGCTCCAGTTTCTTAGTTTCTGTTTCACGGTGCATTACCTAGTTGCATACACACACATTACAATGGCTGTAGCAAAAGCTGATTCATTATGCCACAATTATGTTGGACATTGTCTATTATCAGAGATATACTTGATACGATGGTTTGGGAAATGAATCTACTTCTCTCTTCTGGTGATTGATTGTTATTGTACTGACAAATATTTCTCATTGTTACAGTTTCAAGATTAGTGACAACAGCTGAGAATGTATCTGCAACCCTTTGAATATTAACCTTTATCGACTGTGTCACAGCTTACGCACAGTCCAGCTGGCTGTATATTGCAGTAACATTGACCTCATACTTTAAAGTCCTTCTGGCAGACCTGTTCTACATGGGTTTAAATCCTCTATCATCATACAATAAAAATTAAACATTTATGCTAACCACTAAACCACTTGGGCAAACCTAGTGGTTAGATCGCAAAATTATTATCAAATAGGTGTCAGGCTGTATGGTAACTGTTGTACTGCTGTCACTAATCTGATAAATACAAACAATAAAAATTGCATGTCAGTATAATAAAAACAAACCATCACAAGAGGAAGTATATCCAACTCCTAAGACAAGGTAATATCTATGTGAACCATGGTGTAATGTTACCACTATGCAGTAAATAATTAATAAATAATCATTCCAAAAATAAAAATTACCTGCAACCTAATGGTCATTCTACCCTGAAGTACCTTGTAACAGAATCTGAAATGGTAGCTTTTCATTCACCAATGGAACGCAATCCTAGGAATAAAGATATAATAACCATAACAGATACTTTACCTTGATATTGTTTTGACCAGACTGGAGAGTGTGTTGTCTCTCTGCTACCTCCCTTGCCAATTCCAACTCAGCCGTGTGCAACAATTCATCCAGCATAGCTACACGAGTTTCAATATTCACCTGCTTTGCAAGATGTTCTGAATTAGCTTCACTGTGTAACTGAAAAGACAGAAATAATGGCTTTCTATTACAACATGCACATACAAACTCGGCTATAACAAGATCCAAGGGACCAAGGTAAAGTGACTGTTATAACCATTATTGTAGCTATATGTTACTTTTGCTGTTACTCACTACTTCTATCTCACACACACACACACAGATATATACTTATGGAAAAGGGATAAAAACAACAATGAATAAACATAGCTTATGATTACATGATTAACAATTTATTCAATATATTTATGCACTACAAAGAAATAATTTTTAAAGCAGTTTGTGCCTCTGGCTCGACACTACATTAACTAGATACTCACCACCCTCTACTTCCTTGCTTTCAAGAAGGGTTATAAATTTCTATCGGCAGGGATGTGGAAAGAGATAAGGGGGAGAATGTCTTAAACAGGAAAAGCAATAACAGATCTTAGTCCCTGGTACAGCAGTTCAGCCACTGCTTGTTATAACGTGTTAAAGATTTGCTCATTATACCCATGAAGATCTCAACTACCATGAAATGTTGCTAATAAAATGCATCATTTCCAACCAACTCTTCTCTGTTTGCTCACAATAACTGCGATTTCATTATAACTGTGCTCATTATAAATGAGTTTGACTTAATTACATATCTTTTATAAAAGTTTCTAAATAATATCTGAGAATAAAACTTCTTTATAATATTTCATTGACAACCAAATTGAAATGACTCAAAAGAGGATCACATGGTGGGTTTCTGTGATCACAGATATAACAATTTTTGATTACAGGACAGAAAATGTCTTGATACATCTGCTACAGGACAAAACATAAAACAAGTGTTTTCTTTCCTCCCCCTCCCCCCCTTCCCCATAGTATATGTAACCCACCTTCCTGAGCTCATTTGCCAGCTGTTCTTGCTGTAGCTGCAAAGCGTGATGCTCCACAGAAGTTGATGGTACCACATTGTTTGCTGTTCCTAGCATCTGCTCTAGATTGTGTTTATGTGTCAGCAATTTCAGGTAGTGTTGCTGAATCTCCTCCTCTGCTGCAGCTACTTCAGTTTCCTGTTGTGCCCTCTGTGACCAGTATTAAAGATGTAATTGCTGCATATTATATATGACTTCCAAACTCAGCATAATTACTGTACTAGATCCTAATGCAATGAAATCTTAATTGCCCTTTATACTGTAATTATTTGTATACTGAAATGCCCACATAAATGATACAACAAAAAAAGAAATTAATGAACAATACCATATTTATCAAAATAAAACACACACCACTTTCTAAAATGTTTGCATAGAAAATTGGATGCACATCTGTTTGAGGATTTGATTTGGATAGCACAAAGCACAACATGTACAGCAGCAAACTTTGCAACATTGTCTGTGCAGTCTGTATCTGCCATCAGGTAAAGAAGGAAGATTGCAGTATATTCCTCCAAAATGTTGGTATCTATCTACAAGTCCACAGTTTTATAACCCAGAAGACTAACACCAACAAATTCATTGCTGTGAGAACCTCAAATCTCATGATCCTATCATTATTAATGCAGAAATGCCATGTTTTAACCAATACAAAATATTAGAGTCAGGCCAGGAAGTTTTAAATTTTTTAGCATCAGACACATGGATAGATGTTCTAACATACAGTGCCTTTCTTGGCGACACTGAATTTTTATATTAAACTAAGAAAACCCTTAAATTGGAGAAAATGGAACACTTGAGATTACTGTCTTTGAGTCATTTAAATGAGGAGAAACCTTAAATTGAGGAACATTAAATGAGAAAAGGAAATAAAGAACATAAAATTGGGAAAGACCTCAAACTGACACTGACACCAACATAAAATGAGGAAACACCTTAAATTGCGAACAAAAAAGAAGACAAACTTAATGAAAATTAGGAAAAGGCTTAAACTGATTTCTGCTGTATTAACCATCCATTTGTCTTACAAATATTATAATAAAGTGAATAAATTAGTTTTACACTTTCAGGTCTCTGCATCATACCTTTCGTTCAATGTTATCAAGCAGCTGATTAAGAGCCACATGCCGCTTTTGTACATTCTGCCTCATAAGTCTATTCTTGGCAACATCCAGCAGCTCCAGTTCACGGACTCGTAAATCTTGTCGGACAGCCAGTATTTTCTGCCGCTGATCAGCCACTCGTTTCTCCTCTTTATGAAGTATCTCTTGACATACTTCCTCAAGTTCTAGGAAACAAATTCTACTTTCACCACTGACAGAAAACATATTTTAACTCACAATGCAGTCATTACCAGGAAGTTATGTCTACCATTTCAACTGCCTAGGTTAAATAACATCACATGCAGAAATGACCATGAATAATTTATAAATTGGGAAAGATGTGAAAGTAAATGACCGTGGCCTACAGCACTATTCCACCATTTCCCTGGAGTACCTGAAGAAAATAAAATGTAAGACCTCAGTAAATATAATCAGTCTCTGGGCCAAGGACTGAATGCCTTTCAAACACTAAGCAGAAGAGCATCTGTTCATCATAGGAAATAGTTACAGCATTAATCTTCTTCTTTTTGGGGACAGGGTGAGCTCCAGGAAGTCACAGATGTTTACTAAGCACTGTTACCTGAAACCTGATGATAACAGTTTTCTGGCATGCTTTATATGAATCCTTATTGCAGTAGACACTTTGTTCTATTCCTGCATGCAAAGCTTTGCGTGTGCATGTGTGTGCGCACGTGCGCATGCCTGTCTGTTTGCATACCTAAAGTGCAGTAAATCAAAGCCACTCCATGGTCATAACTTAGATCCAATACGCTACACTTTGGCCTACCCTCTCCCACCCTCATAACATATAATGATACAACAGTCTCCAGTGACAAAGAAGTGACAGATAAAAATGTAATTTTTTAATGTGTACAAAGAATATAAATGTATTTAAATATTACATTATACAGAATGATTAGGTCAATGTGTGTAAATGATGTGAGAGAGGGAACAATACTTGTCAGAGACCTCGGAGTCAGAGAGATAAATAGAAGAGAGTTCCGAATATTGTGTTCATTCCGTGAACTATATCAAGAACAGGGCAGCAGCATCTTCCATGTGGGGCCACTATTCTGTTTTCCTCTTCATCATCAAATTAATTACAACCAGTGTACCTCATTTCAATATTGATGCATATCGATTAGTAACACACCTTTCAGGCGTTTTTCTTGTATTTCAGTGTGTATTGCATCATGGATCCTTTCTTCCTGTTCAGCTTTTTGCTTCATTGCTCTTTCATATTCCTTCAAAATGTTTTGTTCCTCAATGCGAATCTGCTCCATTCGATGAGCCTGTAAAATTTATGGACATTATAAAAGCCACTCCATATATTCACATCGTCATATTTATTTCACCTATTCTCCACTGCCTCCTGAACAGCATTTTTACAATTACACTCTATAGTATGAACGTACAGTATTGTGCTGCTTCCAACAGGTTTCAAAATTCAACTGAAAGGTGCTAATAATGTTTCTGAAAGCAGTCACATCAAGTTCAAACTTTGAGTGAATGTAAAAAATTATCCTGGAAGACAAGCTATTTAAAATCAGCAGATCAGGTACAGCACATAAGTAATACATGAAACAGCAAAGGCAATGATCCAGTGACATTCCATAGTATATGTTGATTACTACTGGGCTCTAAAACATATATAAAATAATAATGTTATTATTGCTGCCATAAATCAAAATTCCAGAATGAACAAAGGAAACTAACACTATGTAACTCCAAAAAATGATTAGTCATAATTAAATTCAGTAGATCAGGGGTGATTGGATCATCGATTTAATGAACAAATACATGAACCAATTGTTGAGAACATTGAAAATTACTAAAACCTCATACTGCTTCATTGCCTTCACTATTCTGTTGGTTATGTGTTATTCTAGGTTTTCTTTCTTTCTAAACAGCCAAAGAAAGCTGGAAACAAAGATCTTCAGTAGTCTGTAAATCTAACTATACATCATTTACTAACCTTGTAATCAATTATGAACTTTGGGTACTGATTGAACACTGGATATGAACCTTTCTCAAGAGGCTTGAATGCAGTAAGGTACTGTCTTGGGTGTACTTCCTTTCTGGTCTTATTACACAACATATATGTCTTCGATATAAACTGCTTCATATCTACTGGATTCTGATTGTGAAAGAAATACTGGAAGAGAGCAGTCAATGTTTCTTACATACTTGTATACTTAAACATTCCATAATATATAGAAAAGAAGTACATAAAATTCCTGAAGCACTGATTATGGCCACAAGAGCATGTCTGGCATGAAAATGGCTTTTTTCATTACACAGAATTTGTAAAAACTTCAAATCAATCCAACAGAAAGCTTAGTCTTACTTGTGGTTTTTGTTGTTGGTCTACAATGAGTCATGGTTGTGCTACCTGTGCCTGGATTGTTGTAATACTCCCACGCAATATTGGAATTCACAATGATGGATATTATACTGCTATGAGTGACTCAATTTAGATAATACACCAACTCATGTGCAATATAAATGTTTAGTGTGGAATTACACAAAGTGTGTGTGTTTTTTTATAAATATGACTGTTTTTATGCATAGTGCTTTATATTAATGCATTGCTTTATAAATTGTATGATTTTAATAGACAGATTAATGGACTGAATTAATATGTTTTTGCCAGTGATGATGACCTCATGAGGTCGAAATGTGTTTGGCACAAAGTGTTCTTTGAAGTGTAAACAGTTTTGTTTGTATATATAATTTTATATTTTAGATATTCAACACTGCACAGTATCCAACATTTTAAGATTAACACAAAGGATTATCAAGTACAGTTAAAATTAAGCAATTTTCAAACTTTGTTATCAAATTGGAAAGAGACAATTTTCAAAACTTTTTCAGGCACTAAAATATCCATTTATACCTTTGAAATGATAATTAGTAGAATATTTAGCCACTTAAAATAATTGAAGATCGGTGAGAATGTAGTATAATCATTGAATATGTTTCTATGATTGTAATGAATGATAGGATTTGTATTCACTGTAAAAGAATCTACAGTATGTTTTCTGCAATTAGAGTTAAAACTCATACAGCATAAATTTCTAACTATTAACACTGAATGGTAGCTCTAGCAGAAGAAACTGACCTCAAAATCATCACGGTTCCGACACGACATGATTGTTGTACGGCATACAATATTATATGCCACAACAGCCATTAACAAGAAGGATGGTTCATTGGATAAGACATGGTCCCATAGGCACAACCAATCTGACCTTGGCAACACCTGAAACAATACTGATGCCATCACTTTTGTTTAAGCAACTATCAGTCAAATTCCGTTCCTGTATTTTATACTTAGCACCAAATGTTATTAGAGAGATCAAATCAAGGAGAATGAGAGGGGTGAGGCATATGTGATACATTGGAGATACACTTACAGAACTTAAAACAATAAATCACGAAAGACAGAGACCACTTGGAAGACTCACTGAAGGATTATATTAAAATAAAACTGATCTTCAATGAATGTAGAACACATGACATAATATCTTCATTCTGAAATTGATTAATTAATGTATAAGTTATTTACATTGTTATTAAGAAATGTATTCATCCATCTTAGTTTCCATTTCATTATTTATTTACTTTGTTATTTCATGCTGGCTCTAAATCGGTCCTGTATTTTGTAGCTTCTTCTGCTCAGTGCCTATTACATGAATTTTAACATTTTATGTCTGTCTATATTTTAATTAATGTCATATGCAATGATATGTTTATAAAAGGAGTGGTGAAGGATGTTAATCTGTAAACTGAGTGTAACATGAAAGTCTAAGATATTTAAAATTGTATCACTTGATATAAATTCATTAAACCTGTGCACTACAGGAAATCAAGTTTTGTTTGTCATTGAAAGTTCATTCCTTTAAATTTCATAAAATAAACCTTTTCACAATTACTCTAAAATAAGTAGCTTACAGGTATGAGAAATGTTTTGTAATATTGTGTTAAATCACAGATATATAAGGGAATGTAAACACCACTGCTTTGTAAGGGTTCATTAATTTTCAACTATTTCATAACCATACCATATTCTACAAAATCACATACCTCTGAAAATGCTACCTCTAGCAGAGTCCATGCATACAAATCTGTTTTGACTCCAGCACCACAGTAAAATTCCAGCAGCTCTGTATCATGTTCAGCAAGAACATTCTCAATCATAGACAATACATTTACTGGTGGGAATGGGAAATACTCAAACCAATACTGACACCAGTTCACTGAAGTGATAAACAACGAATAAATTAGAACAGATTTGATGAAAGACTCAGGTTACGAGCCACCTGATGTGGCTTGTAACCCGAGAGTCTTTCATCATCTTCAGTCGCCACAAAAGCTTCACTTAATACTAAAACAGATTTATTTCAGTGTTGAAAATGCAGATTATATTATCACAATCCACTTGGAATAACTCAATTATTATCACATCAGAGGAATATTGTATTATATTCTTTTTAATCTGTAATATCAGCATTATAAAGGAAGTTTACTCTTGCTGTATAGCATAATCCATGTTTAATTTTATATTGTTGCCAGTCTCAATACCTTTGTCTCTTCTTGAAAAGACACTAGCACTGAATATGGTGGAATAGTATAATATGTTTGACTTTATCAGAGGTACCCAGTTCAAATCTCAGACAGAACATCAGCTAACCCAAGTGAATGTATTTATTTATGCTTTATTTAATGATCCTATCAATAGCTAAGATTATACAGCATCAAATAATGACTAGTGAATAAATTGGAAGGGATGTGGAAGGAAACATTCGTGGCCTAATTTAAGGTATTATCCCAGCATCTGCCTGAACAGACTGAAAGACCTATTAGGAAGCCAGTCTCCAGGACAAAATTTGAACCTGGGACCTCCAAATTACAAATGGTATTACTAACTACTTACAACATTTATCCCAAATGGGGTTTTCAAGTCATTTGTGTCAGCCATTTGAGGTCAATGTTGGACAGTACCTGAAATAGTCCATTACCTCTTCTACCCAGTCTTTTCAAATTCAGCAAACATAAATCTTGCTTGGCACTATATAATTTTATACTTGATAGAGCATTCTTAAATAACCTGGTATATGATGATGATGATGATGACAGAAGGTTGGATGGATGAATGCAGACTTTGCTTGCATTACACACATTGAAAATAGTGTGATGTGTTGGGGTTGGCATTGTTGTTAGTTTATAGACATTGTTGTATTCATGCATTGTTGTATTATTATTGACATTGTTGCGTTTAGCATTGTTGCATAGACATTGTTGTATTTGTATAAAAGCCGATTGACAATCGACTTTGACAGTAGTGTAGTAGGTGAGAGTGTGGAAGAAATACTGCGAAGAGAGCTGAAGTGTGAATCGCTTGTAGGAGAAGTGTGTTGTAGACGAGATTATTTTGTGCTGTAAAGACGTTTTAGTTGATTAAATTCATTATTGTTGGAAGACTTTGTGGTCTCTTACAATCCAACCAAGTTTACAACTGAGATCGGATTTGAGGTAGTAGACCCCACAAGAAATTAAGGGTTGACAATCAAGGTTGTATACCTACCCACGCTACAATACTTACTTATGATTGTGGTAACAACTTCAAAGCATACAAAAGGATCATTCTTGAAAACTTTCACAAAAGGAAAAACAAATAATGGCAGGAATTTCACTTCAGCAAATATTGAGGACCAATGAGCCAAACAGGATAGCAATCTAAAATAGAAAGTGATTATTACACTATTTAACAATATGTTAAATCTGCAGTAAATAAGTGGAAATAAATGCACTATGCCAACTACATTTTGGACCTTGAATGTGATATCCACATTATAAATTCATAATTAGAATGGTATGTACAAAATGATAAATCAGCAATGAAAAAAGCCAAAACTGTATTAATTTGAACATCATAAATAAATCTTGAACCCAATTATTTACAACAGTAATGCTCCACATGAATTTTTCATCAAACCAATGAATTGCACAAATGAATCAAGCACTATAGTAGTACATAAATGCCAGTGTCTGATAAACGCAGCCCAACCCATGTAATATGTCTTACACTCGATAAAAACTTCATCTTGTGCATTTTTAAATCATACCTTATAAAGTAAAACAGGTAGAAACATTTACCTTTTCAAACAATTTAAGACACTTCTGTTTTCCAGTGAATATTGTTCTTCAAGATGCAGGTAAGCTGTGTGGACTTCTCGTTTGATAAGACTCATATATGCCGGCTGATTGCAGGGTATGTGTAAGATAATTCTCCAAATAAGAGGTCGGTAAGAGTCTGGGTATTCTCCAAACTCCTTTAGGATAGGCCGTAAGCGACTTAAATTCAGAGTTTCTTTAAGCTACACAGAGATTATACAAAGCATTAAAAGATAAATCACAATAAAATTGTGACAACTGTTAATAAATCATAAACACTTTGTTCCCATGAAGCAGAAGCATAATTAAAAGTTTTAAAAGTTACGGAAGACAGGTATATACAAACCTGTTTATGCACTCTGAGGAGGTTCTGTTTTGAAGAGTGTCTGACTATACGGTGGGTGGCCATTTTCTTCTCTGGCTCCACATCATGTTCTGAAGAATGAGCTTTCTCTGTCAGCACAGTCTCTTCCAGAGACTGGGCTTCTAACAAGGGAACGCTTGTGTATATGTTCACCTCACCGGACTGTAGAATGCATGCAACATACTTCCCACTGTAGCTACATGTAAACCTACCTACAAATTAAACCACAGAAACATAGGATGGACTTAAATTTTATGCTCAGTGGAATCTCCATTTAATGTTTCTCTAGGGGACATCAGGAAAAAAGAGTGATATGTGAAATATGAGGTTCTCATGTTGGCAAGGATAACAAGTCTACATGGTGCCATAACCCAGAACAACGTTGTCAAGAATGATATGGATAGGACATACAGCCTACATGTACAGCAGAAACAAGACGTGCATACAATATCTGCTAAAGAATGAATGTATCTGCTAATAGTGTTCTGCTTTAAGATGCTGTTTTAATTTATTACAATACCAAAGTTTAACATAATGAACTGCTGTGTTTGCATAATTATAATATGAAATCAATTCACATTTTCAACTAGCAGGTTGAACTGTAATCTGAACAGTGAATGTTACTTTACTCTCCACATACCTTACAGATATACATTCTTCATACTCAGTTAAATACCCTTTATTGTCATTAAATTAATCGTATAAGTTACAATTTTTTTATTCTATTATTTATTTACTCAAGCAACATAACTTTGCTGCAGACCAGACCAGAGCAATATAGCTTTTTTATGTACTCTCAAAGCAACAAAATTAAGGATATGTAGTACTTACTGATATTAGTCTGAGACACAATCACATTCTCCAGGAACAAGGATGATTCAATGTCCAGAAAATAAAGAATACCCTGCGAAGACAGTAATCCAAGTACCTGGAATGCATTAAATGATACTGACAAAACTGCATGTACTCTCATAAACTGCATACACATAAAACATGCACATTAATTATGGCACAAAGTTATAAACTAGCAATGAATCTGATCTAAATTTAACACCAGTTTAACTGGCATTGATACTAACATTGTAAAAAAGGTGACTGTAAATTGAAATAATTTTGCAGATGTTTGCTTAACACACAATTGCATTTTCAATAACATGAGACACACAGTCCCTCCAAATAAAATCCAAAACTGAACTTAAAACAGGCCATTGCCATGCCTTGTCACATTCTTCCGAATTAACCTTTCTTTATCTTCCTCACATACATAATTTGATGCTAAATAATCTCACCCAGTGATATACAGTCATAAACTAAGTAATCAACCAACTTAAAAGGTATCTTAGATTTTTCTCAGGAAGTCACTGACCAACAAACAAAACATATAACAAAAAGCTTACAAACCAATGACAGAACAGAACAAAATACTAAAACCAATTAAGTATTTTTTCATTTCTACAAGGGCTGTAAAAAATATTATCACTATAAATATATGACCATTGTAGAGACTGTACTATTAATTTCTGTCTATATTATTGAAATGTAAAATTTCTAGAAACAGCATTAAATCACAAGGACGGAAACCAGAAAAACAGTAATCCCTTCCTTCCTCCAACAAGGCAAAACACTACATTATACATCAAATTACAAAATAAGTTTTCATATTCACTTACTTTGTTAGCACCAGCATCAAACAGCTGGGGTAGAAATTCTACATGCCGGATGCCTGACACACCTTCTGGAAGTTCAATTACCTTCTTTACACTCCAGACATCAAGACAGAACACCACCAATACTGGACAATGTCCCCCAATCACCATTGCTCTCCCATTCCTATCATTGGATACAGTTATTACTTTCAGAGAAACACTGCCACAATGCTATTCCCTTCCTTAATTTCATTGTCCTCATTGTGAATCCAAATACTATCTCTCCTTCTTATCATCTGTATTCTTAATTATTTATGAGCTGGAATAGCTCAGTCAGTATAGTGACTAGCTATGGGCTGGACGACCAGGGTTCGATCCCCGATGGGGGCAGAAGATTTTTCCTCTAGCCTCTGTGTTCAGACCGGCTCTGGGGCCCACCCAGCCTCCTCTACAATGGGTACCGGGGGTCAAGCCGGCCGGGGCGTGATGCTGACCACCCACCCCCATCTAGTGCTGAGGTCAATAAATACCTCCACTCACCCCAAGCGCCTGTATGGCACGTAGCTGGACAAACTTTACTTTACTTTACTCTTAATTATTAAGATTGGTCTGGCAGATTTTAAGTATTAAATACTTTAACATCAAGTAAGAAAACCTCGCATCATACACAAAATCTGAGCAGCAGTCAGGTAACTGTTCTCACATTAATAATTTTCAATACTGTAAGTTTCTGACTAAACACAAATGATTAAAAATACTTCTACTCATCTCTTTTGAAAAAAATATATCCATCACTTAGTATAATAGTTGTGTTCTACAAAACACACCCAAGTAAAACTGTTAGGCATGATAGCAAGTATGTAACTAACCAAGTTAACTCTAATGATTCAACACACAACACAAAAATCCAACCCTTCCTCTACAATAATTGAGTTCAGTCCACTTCAGGGTGTATTGACTATTTTACAACTAGCAAAACTTTCAACAATTTGTCAATGCTTTGTTCTTCTGGGTTGTAACGCCATGTGGACGTGTAGGTGGTGTTGAAGAAACACTAGGTATCTACGTACCTACAAATCTACACACATCACAACCCAAAAGAACAACATCAATTACCTTTCTAACAATTTTTGCCTTTCAGTGACTATACAGTTTGTGCTGAACCTACTGAATTTTTGCACAGAGCACTTACTAGGTGAGTTAGCAATGACTGCTTTTCTATGTATTAGCTTGACAATATGGGATGAATCTCACAACTTAAATTATTTCATGTTCCCTCAAACAGTTTCATACACAAAAATAAAACTGTACTCCCTTGTGAAAGCAATAGATTTCAATTGATGACTCTTCCATGCTTCTGGCAAAATCTGCTTAATGCATTCAAAGGTGTCAAAATTCCATACATGTATTGAGTCATCTTGAAAGCATGCCAATATGTTGTCAGAAACTGGCATGAAAATAACCTGTGAAGAAAAAGAAAAATATCTTTGATTAATTTGTTTAAGGAATTAATAACATATTATTCCTCAACCTTACCTGTATATCTGCATGCCACTGTTCAGGTAAGTGTTAATTCTAAGTTACACGTCTCTAAAAATGTGGGTGAAGCCTAAAGAAACAGTGGAATCCAGGCTTTGCAATTAGCTAAAAAAAACATCCTTTACCTGTTTGACAGCAACATCCCTGCGTAAGGTCAAACAGTGAGCTTGAGTACTGGAGTCCAAGTTCCAAATAATTGCCTCTTGTGCTGCGGCTGTGAGACAATATCGGCCATTTGAAGAGAAAGTGACCTGCTTGGGTGGAAGTGTGTGTCCATCCAACTTCTCTGTCACAGTTCCTAATTCTATAATTAGAAACAGAAAATTAATAAACTGTACAGAAGTTAGTGATTGCCTCAGAGCCAATGAATTGCAACATCCTACCTATGTTCATGAGTTGTAGAGAACAATTCACAGATCCAATAAGCAGCTCGCCCTTTTTTGTAGGTGGAAAGGCAATCATAGTGCATGAGCCTATATTTGGCAGGAGCCAAAACCTGAAAAAATATGTAGTGATTTTATGTTAATTATGGACTATACTAATGAATATAAAGAACTCAATCATGTGCAGGACTTCAAAAATTCTGAAAAGGAGGTGACAGGCATTGCTCAGCAATTAGACCATGCTTAGTGATATTTACTGCTCAATTAATTTTTCCATAAATGACTTTCTTTTGTCATTTAACTAGTAAACAGCAATATTATATCAGCTTACATCAAACCTGAAAATATAAAATTTAGTTCAAAATATACACTCTATTTGTTGATACTGGCATGCTTCCAATGTCCACTTTCATTTTCTGTACTTTGATTCAAGACTTTTAACTAAACAGCTTGTCTTTGAGGTAACAACTCTATCAGTTGATCTTTGCTTTCATTAATTGTAAACAAACATGAGCCAGTGGCTGACTTCTTTGTCATCTGTCTATGCTTCCTGTTCTCAGTTGCAGAGGGAGGGGGAATGTTAATATGAAAATAATTCAAATCTTGTCATTGCAATTGTTTTAAAATTAAAGCATGGTTAAATTTAAAATCTTGCAAGCCTCAATGAGTTTGAAGTTTTCATCTGAAACTTCATTTGCTGTCAGATAATGATTAAAATATCAAATAATACCATATTTTTGCACAAGCATGTCTGAACACAAACAGTAGCTACAGACCTCAAAATAATCAATTATTCATATATAAATTAGTTTCTACATTTTTAAAGCAGGCTATGTTCAACAACTAGCAACATTATAATCATATTTTGGTTACAGGCATGAGGAGTAAATAATAAAAATATAGAAGTAGCTCCTAATTCTAGATTATATTTGTCACAGTTCAGTTACGCATGACAAGAACATATTTATAAAAGTCCAGCAATCCTTTTATAATATGTAATATCTAACAACATCATTGTCAGTCATTTGTATTATTTCAGGTTTCTACCTATAAAACAATGAGCCGGGATAGCTCAGTCAGTATAGTGACTAGCTACGGGCTGGACGACCGGGGTTCGATCCCCGACGGGGGCAGAGGATTTTTCCTCTAGCCTCTGCGTCCAGACCAGCTCTGGGGCCCATCCAGCCTCCTCTATAATGTGTATTGGGGTCCTTTCCCGGGGGTAAAGCCGGCCGGGGCGTGATGCTGACCACTCACCCCCATCTAGTGCCAAGGTCAAGGAAGAGAGAAGCTATACCTCCACTCACCCCAAACGCCTACATGGCGTATAGTGGGACAAACTTTACTTTACTTTACCTATATAACAATTTGAATGATAATTTCTAAATGTGCAAACAGATTTAGACTCAGATCTTAATTTAATTTCTTTGAACCGTGTGACAGTACATCCCCGTGTGTGATGGAAAGGTCTTGTAACAGTGATTTGTCAGCTATGAAGATGGTCAATTTAGTGAACTAACCATTTTATGAATGAAGCAATGACCAAATTTTCAAACATACACTGAAAGACTTATATCTTACTTTTTACTTTCCAAGTCAATTATAAATATATTTCCCCTGTGGTCAGAAGCTGCTAATAACTCTCCAGTTTCATCAAATGTGGCATGTACGAACCGAACACGGTGTGCCTCACCATTAGGCGTCGGAACAGTATGATGCACCTGCAGGATTAAACTTAAAACAAAACAAGAACAAGAAATACATATTAATCATGAATTGGTATGCTATGATGATTCTGTAGCATATCAGAATTCTTTGCCTGGTTTTATGTTAAAGTTTACATACAATTCAAGGATGCATCATTCTTATGATTTTCAGTGATATATATTTCACAGCTTTCAAAATGTTATTGCATGACATTATATGCACTGAAATAATAAAACGTTTTATTGATAAACTATAACAAAATCACCAGTTTCCTGAATTTGATATTCTGGCTCCACAGAGCATCTTCCCACCAGACTGCATGTCATAACGCACTGTTCCAGCTGTGTCATGTTATAATATAATAATATTTCAAACAGAGGCTACAAAGTCAAATCATGAATGGTAAAATGAAAAATGGTAAAGTAAAGACAATCATAGATTGGTATATTGGAAGGGTTTTGCTAAGTAAATCAGAGAGTGAAATAAGTATCTGTATGTTTTTGCAATGATGAAATAATATAATGTGTACTTCTGGAGAATCCCCAAATATGATGAAAATGTATGATTGATTGGAATGTGTTTTGATATTTGAACTGCTTAAGTGACTCATACAGTCAAAATACAGTATATTTTTACAACACAATGAAATACTGTACATATGCCATGAGAAGTCTGCTAGAGAGCAAGAGTGGAAGAACAGTGACCTACAGAATACACAATCTGTTCCTTGCTCCCCTGCCCCGCAGGAAGCACATCCCAACAAGCGAAATATTGAAAAAGAAAATTACACAATAATAAATCATACATTCAGAGGAATAACTACTCTCATTACAGCATTCAGTCTTATTTATTTTAAAAATTTATAACCCCAGTCTAGTAAAAAGGAAAAGTAATGCAAACCCTGACCAGAAAATAATATAACATGCAATTACCACAAAATTACAGTTGCCCTGACATACTCATTAAAACTTCAATAACTGTACACACATAATACCTACCCATCCCTCCTGGATTTCTTCAACTGAAACACTTGCTTCTTAATCCCTGAATACTTCATATCAGGCTTCACTTGAAGGTTCATACTGACCTGAAAGTTACACACATCCACACATTTTGTTTAATATTAAATAAAATATGTTCACTAATGCTTTCCTGATAATACCAATAATAACTTTCAGTCTTCAGAAATGTTTCCAAATCACTGTAGCTTTGAAACAATTTTTGATATTTCAAAAACAAGACTACAATTTTCAGTCATTTTGAATCTATAAAATGTTGAATTTAAAAATAAGTAATCAATTACACCTTATTTGAATATAATATAAAAACAATTGATTATATTGTGCTGTGTGAAATAACTTTAAATATATACAACACCCACTATCTCCAGCTACACTTGTAAAACTATGCAGTATAGCCTTATCAGTAACATAGTTTTATGCTGAAGTTCATGCAATTCCTATTATAAATTTTTCAGAATGTAGCAAGCATTCGTTCACCTTCTATAATTGATCATACAAGTACAGCCAACCTTAAAATTGACAATTATTTACCAAGTGGGTAATATATTCCTCTAAATAAGATGACAATAGTACATGTGGCCTGGCTTTTAAAAAGAATCATTCAACAATTATAAATTCTATTTTATTTCAATTTGCAATTGAAGGGTACACAAAATACATTCATTTTGGGTTATTACACCACAGGCATAAAATTTAAAGATCAAAAGTTTGTCAATTATAGATATCAACACTTCCAGTTACAAAATGTGATGCTTTCTAATGTTGTCATATATCACTCTTTTTTAACCTTTGACATATGTTTAAATGGGAAAGAAGATGGTTGGAAAGGCTTAACCACAGAAGAGGATTGGCATTTTAATTTCTTTTGCTGTAATGGGATTATAAAACTAGCAAGCTACATGACTTAAAATGAAAATGACTTAATATGAAGAGGATTGGCATTTTAATTTCTTTTGCTGTAATTATAAAACTAGTAAGCTACATGACTTAAACATATACAAATACTAATGCAACTAAAATTAATTGTATAATTTGTGAAATTTAAAACAGAATGACATATATATACAACTATCTCAAACCACTCAGCCAAATATTTTGTTCTTTTAGCATGATACTTCAGGGTATGACACAGGACACAGAATACTGTGCTGTTCAACTGGACTGTAAATTCTCAAACATATATATTTAAGCACAATCAGGGCATCTACATGAGATTCTTCCTGAACAACTTAGATAACATTACTGATTATCTTATTTAATCCAAACCTGAATTTGTTACCTGTTGTGATATAAATACTGAGCAATTTACTCAAAGTTATCAAAATCAATGCCTTCAATCCTCACTAAAACTGTTTATCACATGTCAACTATTGACTTCTCAATAAGAATTCAAAATTATTCCATTACTGCCACTGATAATTCTTTTATAGACAGTACCAGAAAAGATCATAATTCTGTTAAAATTAGTGTCCTTGGCCTGCTTCCACCCTATTGTGCTACAGTTTAATTCAATACCTTTGGAACAACAGAGTTAAGTAGGATTTGAGATTCTGATGGCTGTCTTCTGAGTTGTAACACCAGGCAGGGTGATGAGTACTTTACTCGTCACCCTGATGATGGATGTAGCAAAGACCTCTGAAACGCTGATACACTTCTACCAGAGTAGTACTCACACCACGATGACTGAGGCGGCAACGACCTCTGATACGATGGTAAACCTCTACCAGACTACACAGCTACAACCGAGAAGATAGCCATCAATATAGTGAAGTATAACTTCGGCTTTCGGGTGAACCCAACGTCGGATGTTTGGTGAAAACCTCCAGAATTGGCCCCACCGCATACCCACCTTGAAAACGGCAACTGCAATGACTGCCGAAAAGTTAGTTAACACCGGACATTCGACGTGACTCTCAACCGAAGGCCGAAGTTATACACTGAACTCCAACCGCGAAAACCTACGGACATGAACACAACTAAGGTTAGTGTAAAATACCAGTACCGTTAGTTACCGCATAATCTAGTATCTACCTTAATAGGAATTCCATGAACAAACTTAACATTCCATGCTCTTATTATTCTTTCGACTCGTTGAAATAATACAACTATATTTGTTGAATTTGGCGGTCAAGAATTAATCGTATTATAACAAGAACTTCAACTACCAACGGATTTAAAATACCACAAACTACTGACAATACCAACGCCACAATATAATACTGCCTTAACATATCCCTCATTGTAATCAGTCCATGCCTAACATCCCGTTCGATCTGACACATTTATGCCTGACCTGAAGTGGAAAACAAGAGAAGTAGGCGATCCGTGTAAGAGAACGAATGTATGTGGAAGGCTGTAGGAAACTAGTAATTCGTGTATTTAATTACGCCTTTCCTATTAGAAACAAATTATCAACATTTCATATATTTGGTGGAATTAACTGTGTTGCTCTTTAAGTGCTATAAAAATCAGTAACTGCAATGAGTTTTATGACGAAGCTCTTCGGTGGAAAGAAAGGAGACAAACAACCAACAACTGGCGAAGCCATACAGAAATTAAGAGAAACGGAGGAAATGCTTATAAAGAAACAAGATTTTTTAGAGAAAAAAATAGAACAAGAAATTGCCGTGGCCAGAAAAAATGGCACGAAAAATAAAAGAGGTATTTGAAAATGATTTATGTATGTATTGATCTTTGATCTCTTAACCTCAACAATTGTTGAGTAACCATTCTGTATTGATTGCAGCACAGTATAATAACCAATACATTATGTTTTTCATAAACTGGCGTTTCACTTAATAATAAGGAAGCTTTTTTGGGTACTAACCTAATGAGCTGTGTAAAATATGCTTGCTAATGTTTAATGTTGAGCTGTCCACTGTGTGGGCTTTCATTTCAATAATTTTTGGAGATTTTGTAAATAAGGGACTGATTTTCTATTGTCTGCATTCATGCATGTACTTCATTGCATGATTCTTTGGTATTCCTCATTTCTTCCTTTTAGAGGCTGTGATTATACCTTAAAATATACCTAACAGCTTTCTTCCACAGCTTTACAAATTCACTGTTTGGGAATTTGCTTTGTTAATATTACATGACCTATGAATCAGAGAAAGCATCATTAAATAAACAAAAATCAAAATTCTGTTTTTAACATTACATGAATAACGTCCAAGGAGATATGGACATCATTGCCTGAAATAAAACATTTCTGTTTCTCTTGTAATTTTTCAAGCAATTTATTACTTGATTTCATTATGACTAGCTGATGAAACAGCCCAGTGCTTATTTGGTAACTCTTGATAATTTCTGTGAAAGGTTAGTGATATATGTTGTTCAAATGAATCTGTACAATTTAGCTGCCATCCAGGCTTTGAAGAGAAAGAAGCGATATGAGAAACAGTTGCAGCAGATTGATGGCACACTGTCAACAATTGAAATGCAGCGAGAAGCACTTGAAGGAGCAAATACAAATACTAATGTACTACAGACTATGAAAAGTGCAGCTGATGCCTTAAAGGCAGCACATCAACACATGTGAGTTATTCTGATCTCTCTTTGTCTAGTAAGTAAGATAGATTTAAATTTAGCATTGGTTTCACTTTACACTACAGTTGACCAGCTATTTGTTCTTTGGTTATTTTGGCCAATATCATGTAATTTGTAATATAATAGGAGAACTGGGAGGCCAGATGTTAGTATACACACTCTGCTCAGTACTACTAATCAAAATTACATTTTTGACGTAAATACGTCCACATGGAGGAGTCGTTCGGCAAAAAAGCATAACGAAGATGTGTAAGATCCATATCAAAAATGTGTAAATATGGATCAACAACAATGGTTATGTTACCTAAGAAACTAATTGTTACATCATCTATTTGCTTGGCATTGTTGAAACCAGTAAAAATCAGTATGAACATTGTGATTTGGTAACTGTATTAGTTTTCCTACACTGTCCTTTTAAATTAAAACTTCTCTCATTATTTTGTCTTTATTCATGTCATGACACTAGACATTACAGTTAAATGATTAACAGTCTTGCTTTATATTCAGGAGATCGCAGGTTTGACTCTTGGTTCAGATCCTAGCTTAAGTGGTTTTGGAACTTCCTCAGTTTCTTCAGGCAAATGCTCGTAGTTGGTTTCTTGTCCTAACACAACATTTACATCATCATCCCATTCAGTGCTATTCAACCTGTTCAGTTGAGAAAGCATAATTAAATTAAAGAAATATAACACGTTCAAGAATTTATGATTAATGTAAATTTTAATTTAATTTCATGTTCTTTTCCCAGGGATGTGGATCAAGTGCATGACATGATGGATGATATTGCAGAGCAACAGGATGTTGCAAAGGAGATTTCAGAAGCAATTTCAAACCCTGTTGCTTTTGGTCAAGATGTTGATGAGGTTAGTTGAAAGCTTTTTAAGATGTCTCTGAAGAGAACTGATATTAATTGAATGCCATATGCAAGTAAGATGGGAATTAACACCCAACTTGTATTTCAGGATGAACTCGAACGTGAATTGGAAGAGCTGGAACAAGAGGAACTTGACAAGGAACTACTGGGTGTGGGACCTTCAGTAGATGAACTGCCAAGTGTACCTACCGCTGATATTGCGAAGCCTACTCCAACTAAAACCAAAGCTAGTAGGTACTAATAGGATAACACAGGATTAACTCTCATAAATTTGCCATTTATTGTATATATTAAAGTTAGCAGTTAACTTTACTTTAACATCCCAACTGAACATTGTTAACTATTCCTGTTAAGAGAATTTCAAGGATTGAATGAACTTCAGTTAAAACATTAAAGATCTTACTGCATTCACTGCATCTAATTTTGAAACAGGTTCTAGAACATTCAACAAATTGCAATGCAATCTTCCATGTTTCTGTTTGTGAAAACTAAATGATCTACCTTAATTTTTTTTTAATGAAAGACTTTTGCAAATGAACATATTTACATTTTTCATGCTATATAATATACAGCACAACACAGTTTATTCATTTCCCACTTTGTAGCTTCTTTGTCATGTCAATGTTTGCTTTAAATTGTCAAGTTTGTGTTAATTATTTCTAGAATCCCGAGCTGAGGAGGAGGAGGATGAATACATGAAAGAACTGCAACAGTGGGCTTCATAAACTTGTCACAAGTCAGTAAGCTTTAGACACAAAGCAGTCAGTACCAGAGTGTGGGATCTCATGAAGCATACTCTACAGCTTGCTTTATATTTACTATTCTACTGCAAGGAACAAGGAAATCACGTAGCATTTTAAAACCTGGAGCTGATCTTGCACTGTACATATATATCCTAATTGAAATACAGCTTATATTATACTAAAATCAGGTATATTTCTTCTGGGTAAAAAATTTAAAAATTATACAAAATAAATATATGTTAATTAAGCCAAAATTAATTAATTTTCCTTATGCTGTGTATATTTTTGAAAAATTCATTATTTACTATAGGAGTAATGCTGTGATTTTTATGGCATTTGCTGTTATAATTCTGTACTTTTTTACGTACTGTAAATTACAGAAATTATTATTGTCTTAGATGTGATAATATGAAATTACTGTGTAAAAGTGTTAAACCTTATAGGCAGCAAGCAATCAAGCTAAATTTAATATTGAATGGAGATAGTAGGAACATAAATATCTGTCTTTAATGGAGAATCATAATATCTGTAATAAAAGCACATATTTTAATCACAAAAGAAGTCTTTGTAGAATGTGAATTGTAATGATCCTCTGCCATAGAGAATTAATGTTTTGTAGGTTACAGAACTTCACAACAATGAATTCAACATAATTATAAGTGGCTGACAAGGTTTTCAAACTTTCCTTAACATAATGTCCAAAAGCTCATAAAATGTTGTCATTTGTATAATAAATTAATTAGAATGGAATCCATTCTACACTTTTCAAAGTGTGTCATATACAATGAGCAATCCTTTGAACAAGGCAACATATTTCTGAGGACTTCTGAGACACTATAGATGGTGTTTCTTGTATTATGTATTTTCTGTGCAACATAAACTCTAAATGAAATAGGTGTTTCTCGAGTGTGAGCTATGGCATAAAACCAGAGTTGTTTTGAAAGTGGAATATTTACACAAACAGTGATAGGATCTATATTTCATAGTCAAGTATATCATCAGTGTAAATAAGAATTTCCATGCTAATGTTATTAAAAGTTACACAGTAATTTTCTTTGAACATCTCAGGTCTCCCTATTTACTGGTGAATAAAATAAGATAATATGATAATTCATTGACCATGGATTGTTTGTACAAAGTATTGTATGTTTTACAAATGATATGTAAGCCTTCCAAGCCCTGACTCTTGTCCTATGCATGCTGGCTGTTGTACTTAGATGCCATAAATGCTAAATACAGTTGTAAACATACTTTACTAAATCAGTGCTTCTCAACTGATAGTTCATAATTGTTTGTGACTGCATGAACCACTTTATTGTAGTTTTGTCAGGGACATCAGAATTTATAGGCAATAATTTATTTGCAAACCCCCAACCTAACCTAACCTACCCCCATTCATTTTTCCCATTACATATAATCCTATGTTGACATAAAGTTAAAACACTTCAACATCTTTGGATTTTACTGGATCAGAGAGGAAAAAATTGTGGTCTAGCCACACGATATCAGTTTTTTGTGTTAACAGTTTGTTTTTGCTACTATTCATAGATTGTATACAGTTACTTTAGGGAGTTCGTCATTTCACTATGCATATAGAAGAGTGCAAAGATAGAGACGTGTGTTTGATAGCAAAAGTAGGGAAGGGGAACTTTCTCGTTGAGTAGTTTATAGTAAAGATTAGACGTCCTCTGTGTTGCTATAGTGACATGTAAGGTTTGCCCAAGAAGAATATTTGGCTGTTTCTTCCTGGGAAGGGTCACTTGGAACATATAATATATTTTATTTATTTATTACCTGTAAGTTTTTAGCCTGCTGCAGAGATAAGTTTGCCACAGCTGTGACATTGTCATTAAGTAGTTGAGTACTAATATTCTGAGCCCTGATAAAATTTTTGTCCTTAGGTTTTCAAAGCCCAATTTTATTGTATAACTCAAACTTTCAAGGATAAGCTGTAACAAGGCTCAACAGTGTTTTTCCATGAAAACTGAATTTGAACCAATACAGCTTGATAAAATTGTTGGAAGTGAAATGCTAGTAACAAGTAACATGGATATAGGATTACATTCTAAACTTTGTTTCCAAGAAGCAGAGGGGTAGGGGGGGATTGTGAAGTTCCAGATACACTGCTGATAGGAACTAGCACCATGGGTTTATCTGCATTGAATTTCTCAATGACAAGTTGACAGTACCACAGACTAAATACAGTACACTGTGGTAGTGGTATATGTAAGACTGCTAATGTAAGGCTACCTAGACACACATAAAAATTAATATCTGGTCTCTGTTTTCCGAGAAAGTGCTCTACATACAACTATTTTTCATTGTATCCGTATTAACTCCTACTGTATGCTTTAGCTAATGGACACAAAATGTCTGTCAGAAAGAAATTCTTGCCATGATTTTGAAATCATGGTAATTGTGTAGTTCTCTACTGATATCTGAAGTCCTGTTGATATGTTGAAATTAGTGAGGGAAGTGTAATGCAGGAAAATGCAGATACAAGATCACATCCCAGCTTTTGTTGAAAGGAATTGGTCTCTGAACAAATACTTTCAGTATTCAGATAAAATATGCAATTTAGTTACAGTAATGTAATTTTATCTGTCTTCATAACCAAACAATTTTGAGAATAGTTTAAAACCCAAACAGTTTTCTTATATATAATTTGCAGATGTATCTCTTCACAAGTCTTTGTGATCTGGTAAACTGTTACAGGTAACTTTAACAACTTTCAACAAGTTTCCACTATGACTAGTGGTATCCTTTTTTTAAAGTGGCCCAAATAATTGTGGAAAAACAGTGATTCCTTTATGTTGCATTCTGTGTGCTAATAAAACATGTTAGAAGATAATGCAGCAAGGGAAATAAACCCAGTTTGTTTGGTTTTAAGTACTTGGGTTAAAACCCACTGATCTACACTATCCAGCAAGTAGACATAGCTTTGTAACAGTAACAAATGCCTGCTCTTAACATGTAATCGAAAATTAAACACAATTCTAAACAATAAAGAAAATTTTTTTCACTCTTAGTTGGTATTGTAATTACTGGAACTGTGCGCATCTGGAATGTCACCATCTATGCCAGGACCTAAAGCAACATCCTGACTACCTCCCAACATTCCTATAGGTGGTTTCTTATGTGAGTAAGTTACATTTATTAATACAGACTTGTTGGTGTACAGTATTTTATGACTGAATATTCCAGGGAAATGCTTGTATAGCCAGTTGAAGCAAAATGGCATGGTGGTAAATTGGACTTCATTATAATGCTTAATGGTGCATTTGTATTGTGCCAGATGTTTGTGGATGGTGACTAGCAGTGGGGAATCCCTTTGATATCATACAGAGAATGCAAGTTGTGGCAATATGCAGAGGAGCACTGTTCTGGAGTTTGACGTTTATGTCAGTAGCTAGCTCAAGACAGACTCAAGTATAAGCCATTGTTTTCACTGTGATGAATGTTTGTCTGTACATTCAGCACAGTGAAAGCATACCATTGCAGTTCTTTATGCCTTTGTGATATGTTTAAAACTGAAACCATCTTCATTAATATTACTTTCATATCATAAATATCACATCATAAATAATCTATTAGCAAGACCCTTCCTCTTTCAAATGTGGTCAAACCAATTATTTAGGCAGGTAGAAGAAAAGGAATATTGTTTTAGCAATCAAGCACTAATATATTTTAAAATAATACAATTGTTTTCCTTGTTGAAATGTTACTCAGATTAACTGATGTTATTGCCAGGTTCCATAATAGACAGACGCTCCCACTGGAGGAGCTGCAGCTGGAGCTTGGGGTGCAACATATGTTGCAGGAGCAGTGTAGTATACAGCTGGTGCAGGTGCAAAGTAATAAGTGGGTACTGCTGCATAAGCTGCGTATGGGTACTTGTATGTTGCGTATGGATACCTACAACACAGTTCTTTTCAAGTGGTAGTTCTTAACTTTCTGCTAGATTTCTATGGTTCAGAATTCATTGCAATATAAATGAAACTAAATCCAGAAGGAAGAAGGTCATTGGGAAGACCAAGAGCATAACTAAAGGACAAAATTAAATTAGAATTGGAAAGAAAGGGTAAAGTGAAGTTAGAATGTTTCATACAAATGCCTGACTTCAAGACAAAATCATTCTCCACAAATCTATGCTAGATGGCAATTACTGTAGGCCTTCGGATTTCCTAATTGTAGGCTGGATTCCTAATCAACATTCAGTGAATAAAACTATTCATAAAGAACAACAACTCCATGGTTCAGAAGCCTGGAAAAGCAAAACACTGTTCAACTAGTCAAGACATTTCTTGGCCTTTAATGTACCTGAAGATACATTACCATGTTCACGAGACGTAGCCAAGTTTGGGGTCCAGTGTAATATTTTGTAACTTACTTGTTTTTATTGTGAAGAATAGTTGGCTCCTACCCAAACTCCATACTAGAGGGCCACACAACAAATATAAACAAATTATAAAAGTATGAACACTATTAAGTCACCAATATACCATTATACTTACGGGTAATTTGGTGCCTCACCAGGAGCAGGTGCTCTAGGATTCTCTTCAGCAGCAAAGCAAGCACCAATCAGGATGGTTAGCTGAAATGAACAGATTTTTTTAAATGTAGTGCTGAAGATCATATGATTAAATGGATCTGATACCACTTTACATTACTGTAATTGTTTCTTATGTTACATTTTATTTTTATTGGTATCACACAATTTAATACATAAAATATATTAAGTACTTCACAGAAGGAATACATTTACAGTGTTAATGTATGGCAAAATGGCAGCACCTCATAAAACAATTGTCATCCATGAAGTTCTGCATAATATATGACACAAATTGTCTTGACTTTGAGCAACTAAGTTCTTTTAATGGTAGTGAAAATATATGCACATATCATGCAAAGAAGGTGAATGTGGCGTGATGAGAGGGCTTCTGTGCCTCTTTGACCCTGAGGGAAGGGCAAATGGTGGGGCTTCAGGACCAATGAGGCCAGTAGTAGTAGTGGCAATCCACTTGAAATGCAACCGTCTGACATTGGGGAGACGTATTCACTCATCTTGAACCCACAGATTACGGAGGAACAATGAATATTAAATAATATTAACATTAAAGTGAATTTTTAAAACTGTGACACAAATACTGATTTATCAACTATAATTTGTTAATTTTAATAGTTGTAGTTATAATTTTTAATTTTGTGGCTTGTAAACAATATATTAATTACGAAACTAATTGTTTAGAATTATCCTTTTAATTATTTTATTCTTATTGTTTTAAAATGTGTTTGAAAGAAATTATTCACGTAAAAAAGACAGTTACATCTCTGAAAGTCTCCACAACTTCCATAGGGCCTACACCTTTCCAGTTTTATTTCTAGTTAATTCTGTAAGAGACTGATTTCATCGTAAGCGATGTTATCGTGTGTCTTGCTTAAATGGCATAATTTTAATTTGTTGGTGTACCCTTCATAAAAGTATACGTTTCCTCATTCATTACAAAGGCATTCTGAACCCATAAATAAAGCGACGTCCTTTTAATTGGCACTTAATTCTGGAAGCCAATTATAAAACAGTATCGTATTAAACCAATATTTCATCACCTAAAATACTGCATTTCTCGTTTTTTTAAAAAAAGATGTACACTATGTTTCAAAATTAACTTTACTCATTTTATGTCCTGTAATACAAATTCCACTTCGATCGGTATTAACTGCAAATTCTTACTCATAAACTTGTTATTTCCTTACAGCCGAAAAATACAAAATTGGAAGCTCCTTGCTTTAAACTCGTGTATGCTGGAGTAAAGTTTAAAAGAGTCGCTTAATCTAACTTGTTTAAGAAAGTGTTTCGAATGGCGAAAGTTCCGTATTCCTAGCAGTATTCATTTTCGGGCTGAATTCAAGATGATCACAGACTTAGGAAATAAATCAGAAGCACAAGATTTTAACATATACGATTCGAAAACTTGTATTTAACTTAGTCCTAATTTAACTTCGAGTGATTCAAGCATATTCGTAGAATTTCTACGCGTCGTCTTAAAAAACTGTACACAGAGATGATTTTCTATTCCAGATCAATACTTACAAAAATGATATTCATGTTGATGGGAGTCTTGTCCAAACAGGTTTCGTCAGAGTCCAAAATTAATTCTCCAGCCACAGGAGTTCACATTTTATACCTATCTTACGTCGCAACAAACTTATCACTTGAAAATACACTAATGAGGTCCTATCGCCAAAAATTTTAACCTGCTGATAGAAATTAATGACCATTGTATCAGGTAACAGCCATTAGGAAATTTGGCTACATCAGTATCATTCACAGTCGTTATGTCTAACGTCCGTTCCCAGACGGTTTCAATGATGTGTCTGGTTTGTTCGATTCTAGTTTTATATCCAGCACGAATTGAGATAACATTACATATCGAAATAAAGAGTACTATGAAAATGTGGAAGAGCTGGAAATGCTGAACTTTAGCAAGCGGTGATTCTGCACGTCTCAATCCAAACCAAAAAGGTATGCAGGAAAATAATATAATTGCAAGTACTTATAACTAAGTGTTGCGTATTCTTAGCCACCAGGGTATCTAAAGTGCGCATTTCACAACTTTCATTAACATTGTTTTGTCTTCCTTTCTAGATGAAATTAACTTACGCTACATTTTACGCAGTACTGTTACAATATGACAAAATGCAGTCAATGTATATGACTCTTTTAACAATAAAAATGTTCTGTTCACAGTCAGAAACCTTTTAGGTGCGAATGTTTGCCCGCCTTTCCCATATTCATTTCAGAATTCAACAAATTTGTAGTTCAGCTGAACAGATTAAGAATAATGGGTTCAACTGCTATTTATATTCACACAGAAGGAATGGGTAAAACCTCAACAAATATCTTCGAAACTAATAACTATTAATAATACCGTAAAGACAAGTGCCCTTGAGTTAGGAATGGTGATTATTCGTAGGGTATTCAACGATATATATCGAATGATCAGATCTGCGATAACAAATTTTTTGGTACAATATTTGCCAAATCACGCCTATAATTATTTACAGCAAAATACGATGTTACATAGGCCTACAAATATAAATGTTTTATACATTTATCCATGATATTAACGGTTTCCTTAAATAATAATAAATGTGTTAAAATTTAAGAGGGTGCATTAGAATCTTAAATGTAGGTTTAACCCGGTTTCTAGTATAGGAACATTTCAATTTTAGATAAAAGGACTTGCAACATGCATAAATGCACCAATATACTACAGGCTAGGAATAACGTTGAATTGTCCTCTGCAACTCAGCAATTAAATATATGAATGCGAGAAGAATACAAATCAATTGCTTTCTCCTGTCAAATGTATAAGGTTCAGATGAAAGACAGTGACAAACAGTACACCACCAGAGGAGGATTTCACGGTGTCCGTTAAGCGAAACGTTCTAAACAGTATTTACAACACGGCTGTTAAAATGTCAAATTAGGGTCAGGGATTATGACTCTCAGAAAGACATTTAAGAAAAGTGGGGTTTCCATTCTATTTGTAATTTACAGGAAAGAAAGTCAATTTCCCGTTAATTTTGTTTTAAACAGAAGTGAATTTCTAATTTCACCACCAGCCCACACCTTCTGCACGCAACGG